CACTGTCAGAACTATTGGTGCAATGCTGACACCTAGCGCTGCGTGAGTGCCAGCACGTGGTGTCCTGTGGTCTCATGCATGCTGATGTCAACTGGCAGCCCGCTGGCACATGCTGCAACAGCAATACGGCTGGCTGGCCGTCCTGCACACCTTAAGCTAGCTTGATTGCCGACAATTGCTCATCACCCTCTGCCCACGCAACAACATAAGCCTTTCAACTGGTCAGAGTGGATGTCTTGACTTCTGAATTTCCGCATGGTAGCAAGAATGAACACAGCTTCTCCCACATGCTCCATGCCTTGAACAAGCCAGCGTATGCGGCAATCCTATCCGCTCACCTTGACTCACCGACCCCTTCTGGGCGCCAGGCGGGGCTTTGTGGCTGCCATGGCAGCCTTCTGCTCAGCTTGCGCCTCGCCGCGGAGATGGCTGGGGGGTGAGGGGTGCTGGGTGGAGTGGTGTGGAGTGGGGTGGGGGGGGGGAGGCAACGGAGTGTGAAGGTCGGTCATATGATGGACGTGCTGGCCCCCGGTTGAGTGGCTGCATACGAGGACACGCTTATCCATGCGACCAACCACGGCCAAAATCATCATGGCAATCATTAGCTACTGCTGGTGAAGCGGCATTCAACCACAAAGCGGGTGGTCATCATCATCATCGTCATCAACCACAACAACAATTGTGCCACAAATGGGCGCGAAGCAAGCAGGCTCGAAGCCTCTTGGCATTCTTGGGCAAAGGGCAAACGGTGAGAAGCAAATGCAGAAGACTTGTCTTTGAGCTCGCTTGAGCTCAAGGTAAAACATGCTGCTGCTTCATTCCACCACCGTAGCCATGTTAGCCAGACTTGGCCTCACACAGCCGTCAAGGAAATTGCCAATGGAATATGCAAGCATCCTGGACTGGGACCACAAGCTTTGGCTCGGGACTGGCAAGTGTACCAGGTTGCTTCAAGGGAATTGCCAGCTTGACCCTAGCACCACCCAAGTCGCACTGCTTTTCGGCGACAGAACTACAGCTCCGCATGGCGGCTGCGGCGGGGCTCCCGCTCAGCCAACGCCTCTGACCAGGCCTGCAGGAGTGCTTGCTGTCTGCCGCGGCTTGTCAAATCCATAGCCTCCTATTGGTCAAACAAGGGGCTCAGGAATAAGCCAGGCAACACTGGACACACGAGGCAACACTGCACACTGAACACTGGGCAGCACTGCAACACTGGACATGGGGCAACGCTGCAGTAAAGAACACAACCAAAAACATATTATGTGAGAGCTTGCGGATGAACCAAAAGAACATTTTGGCCGAACGAGCCATGACCATCCAATGAACTCCTGCTGTGATGGAGTCGCCTGGGGCGGCCCTCTGCAAGACTCACCTCTTGCCAGGGCACATGAAAACCAAACAGCAGAAATGTTCTGATAAACCTGTCTTACAGGGGGGTGTTCGGGCGTTCCCTCCAAAATGGTCTGAACCACTTTCAGACAACAAACGACCCCCTACTTGTCAACCAGGGGTTTATGAATCCGGGGGTGACATTATGAAAAGGTCAGCTTAGCTGGCTGAATCCAGCAATGACTAGCTCTGTGCCGATAGAGCGAGCCTCATTAACCGTGGGGTCACCGACGTGGTTGGGGGCGTCATGCAGCCAATGTCAGAAGGAATTCAAATGACATCCCGATACTGTTTAACATCCAAGGTGTAATTTCATGGTCCACGTTAGTGCACCCACGTTGGCTTGGTGGGTTGCTCTGGTCTTCTTTCTTTGCCCCCTGCTTAGGGCTGCAGCTGGGCAAGTGTTTGCCCTCTGTCTCACTGCGAGAAAGGGCTGAACTAGCTCCCACTCAATATGTCGCGCGAATCCAAGACTGTAAGTGGCATAGCTGGGGCAAGTCCTTTGCCGAGTGGTAAACGTGCAAACGATTAGACCAAGCAGGCCTGGCGGAACATGTAACCAACTTCCGGTTGGTTACGGCCCAAACCTACAAGGGAGTGGCACAAATGTGCCATCTACTTCCACCCGGCCAGCCGTACTCAATTTCACGAGCAGTGCTTAGAGCCCCCGAGAGCGCCTTGAACTTTCGCATTGCGTCTGGCATGCAGCTGCCTTTGGCCTCTGCCAGTTGGCACGGGTCCACATACCTCAGCCGGCAACACGGAGCTTCCTCACGCAGCCAGTTTGAAAACCCTCCAAATGGCGCTCAGCATCAAATGGGCAACCAAGAGTCCAGAGTTCATGATGGAAATCATTTAACAAAAAAAAAACCCGGGAGTCTCCATGACCCTTTAAAAATTGGTCCACGACCCCATTATTTTAGGTAATGACCCCATTTTTTAAGGGTCATGGAGACTCTTGAGGGACACCCAAAAAGATCTGAAAGTGGCCCATCGCGCCTCTCACAGGCCATCACGCATCACGCACAACTTCGGTGAGCCTTGTGCTGCTGTCCAAACATCAAGCGACGATATCCGTGGGACCCTGCGAAATGCAAAGCAGGTGTGAGCGTGGCCCAGGGAAAGCCCAACTTGGATACCCTCTGTACAATGGAAATAGACAGGGGTGTCCAAAAAAGGAAAATCGCCTTCCAACACCCTGTCAGCTTCCATCGTAGCTGTGGATGGACAAAACCCTAATCAAGAAACGCTGGCACGATGATTCCCCTGCAATTACCAACGAAGAACGGTAGCCCATGGTTTCAAAGTGGTGCGACGCTCGTGACACTCGCAGCCGTCCACAGTAGGGAGAGCACCTGGTGGGCAGTGCCTTTGTGCTTAGCGGCCAGCCCTGCAGCGTGAAGCGCTTGCCGCTGCCAGGCAGCACCGGCGCCACCGCGTGGTAGCTGTTCCTGGGCACGCGGCGCCCGTTTAAAAACAAAAAGGCCCAAGCTCACCCCAAAGGACCTGGACGTATAAAGGTTTCGCCTTGTGGAAGCTTGACGGAAAAGAGGCCAACTCAGGGAAACCAAAAGGTTCAAAGGTCGATTTTGGGCAAGTGCTCTCAAGTATCTATGCCTGGGACCAGAGTCGCTTGCTTTGTCCCAAATAGCCCGTGTCTGGAAGCTGCCTGCAAGCTCCTAAAGCCAGCACGTCATCCACATGTAAGCAACATGGGAATAGTTGTCCGCCAAGGTGCCGGAAGACAGGGAATAGCACTGCCACGTTGAAGCCAGGCACCATGGTAGTCCCATTCCTGGACACATTGAAGCTCTTGTGGAAGTGCGGCCGGTCCGGCGCCTGCCAAATGGACAAGCGAAGGACGCTAAAAAGGCACAAGTCATCAGTTAAGAGATGCCGGAAGTCATGGCAATGGACCCGCGGCCCGCATCTAAAGGGCGGAAACAAATGCAAACAGCTTTTGTTTGCTCAACGCTGCCAACAGCGCGAAATGACCGCGATTCAGCGATGCGCAGCGAGCCACTGCAGCAGCTACGAGAATCACACCCAAACATGCGAGGGGAGTGAATGTGGACCACTAGCCTTCAGATGCATGCAACCGCATGAACATTTAAAGCTAGTTTGACCAAACATAGATTCCACCATATTCCAACCGCAGCCCTCGGAGGCCCCTTGCTGGCTTGATTCTGCTGGACTCATCAGCGATTGGTGGCAGATACCGAAGCAATCATCGAGTCCAAAGGTCAGAGGAAGAAGTGGCGGGTCCGCACAAGGCGCCTGGATGGTCAAATCCTCTTGGCCTTCAGGCCCGCACCAGATGAGCTCCCCACCCTGATCAGAGGACCTGCAGCTCAAGTCAAGAATTCTCACCCAAAGTCGCACGAGCTTAGAGTGCAGCGCCCTGGCTCGCCAGCCCGGCTCGGAAAATAGGAATCGAATGGAATCGAACTTGAGTGGGACAAAGCTGCAAGCATGCAAACGGAATCCGGGCAGGAGACATGTTGCCTGCCTGAACGCGATCATGAGCCGCGCATACCATCTGATTGCTTTTTTGCAGCCGTGGCGCCAACCAGTGGCAAGGTGGATGGTCACGGCCAGGTATCTGGCCTCGATTCAGGGGCAGTGTGCGTTTGTACGTCCAACATGTGACAAACGAAAAGAACAAGATGATGTCAGTCAAAGATCCCCTTCCGAGCCACACGTCTCCTTTCATTGCCCTAGAGTCGGGTAGTCAAATGCCCAAGCTTCCTGGATGCCGGTAGCTGCCACATCACATGTTTTTCTTCTTACCTGCCTACATCTTGGCAACAACTGCCCACTGACTGCTGCACCTGCTGTAAGTTGCTAGCTCGTTCTGTCTGCAAGCCTCCATACATCTCGACACATTCCGCAACTGACGCGCCGGACGCCCGCAGTTGCGATGTGACTCCTTCACTTCCCCCTGATGTGCCGAAATGCATGCGTGCCTGCGCGTCATCAGCGTGCAAGCCGTAGTAATCGCCCGGCCGCAGCCTTGCCGTGTCAGGGGTTTTTGTCATGCATGTCTAAGGGCGGCTTGCTTGCTTGCTGGCACTCAAAAGGTTCTTGTAGGGGAAGTGCAAATGGATAGGATGGAACGAAAAATGAAGGTTACTTGTATAAACGATTGCTCTTTTTGCAGAAGAAGCGTAAGAAAAGCGTTGTCTTGTGATTTGTTGGCTTGGTGAACATTGGCTGCTTTGAACTTCGGTAGGTGAAAGGCAACCTGATTGTTCTTGTTTGCTGTTGACCCCTCTGCAAAAAGTTTAACTGTGTGGGGGTCCAATGGAAAATCCACTGTTTCCCAAATAGCCGTAGTTTTAGATTGGAGACAACTTTGCCAGTCAGAAACTGAAAGAAACGGCTCGCAAAGTCACGCATGGGGGACGAGGCAAGCAAGACAGAAAAAAAAGAGTGTAAAACAGAGGCTGCAATGCAATGGCCGAAAGTTCTCCGGCTTGGCAGCTCAGGATTTTAACGGCTCATGTCGCGACCCAGGCCCATGGGGAAATTCTGCTGGGATGGGCCCATGGTAAACATTTGACAAGCGTGCGGCTTTGGGGACCTTTGGGCTTCCATACCAAGGGGTGCGCCGTTTGACCATGAACACCGATGCGGTTTTCATGAGAAGCTTCATGCAAAACGGTGATCGACGACCTCCGCATGCACAAATATCTAATATCTACATAAATATGTACGTATGCACAGCCATTTTTCAAGGAAGGCAGTGATGTACAACTCTGATTTACTGTGACCATTCCAACATTTCATGCCCATTGGCTGCAAAGCAAAGGTTGTTGCATGCAAGCCCAGCCTAAACGCAAGCGGGTGCAAGTTCTCAAGCTGGCCCCCACCCATCGCTGATAACGCCAATCACTCTCGGTTGGTGCCAGTTCTGAGCGCAACTTCCACCTGCACCAGTAACCACCAAGTAACTCACTGACCTGCCATGACCCTGCTTTTCCAGGCTGAGTGCAGCATAGGTGTCCTTTGGGGAAAATAGATGGCACTGGTCAATCATTAGAATCCCCCTGCAACCAGTGCCATCTGTGTTCAATCGAACTGAAAAGGACAACCTGCTCTTCTCCCCCCTGTCCCCGACCGGGGCCCGCGCCAGGACCAGGAGGGGTCATAGCGAGTGACCCACTTGGGCATGCCAAAGAGTTGCTGCCAAAAGCTCACCACCGCAGGGTGCTCCATGGCCCTCCGGAAGGAACTATACCAGGCGTTGTGCTTGTCCCCCGTCCTGCCAGTCAGTCCGTTCCAGGCATCCGTGCGCGGCAAAGATGAGACCCGTTCCCTTGGAAGTGTGAAGTTGCGCTCTCAACATGCTTCATTAAAAGTGCTGCTTCCCACGGGTTTTTCTGTTTATTGACCCCGCACGTCGAAACCGACCGGGGTCCTCCCCACCAGAATGTGACCCAGGAAGGCGAAGCGATGCTTGTGCTGCTCCTAGCACACATCTGTGCCATGGGGGCGACAGTGGTGCCTGCAAGCCAGAAGTGGCCTCAAAGGAACGCGGAAACGCTTCCAAACGACTTGCTTTCTGGCTAAAAATCCCCTAAGATTATGCAATCGAACGTGTGCCAGTTAGCCCGGGGGAATGACCGTAGCGCAAGTGTTGCGCCTGACTGGCATGATGACCACCGACCGAAGACTTCGAAACTGGTCCAGCGTTGCAAGCCAACTTTGCCAGCCAACTCAAAGAAAAATCACCGCAACTGCCTTTGGGGCAATGCCAGCCTGCAAGAGAAAACCAGAATTCGCCTCTAGTGGTCGCGTTAAATATGAGCAGTTGGGATGCAAAGTGTTGCAGAATATTTATCAACAAAAAAGGCAAAGTTCTCTCAGCCTCGGGCTGGATTCCGTCCAAAAGGCATCAACAACTCACAGAGACCAGCTCTACATGTGGCATTCTACTTGGCCCAAAGAAAAACCTGCGCTCAAGACAACCTGTCCGTCCACCATCGTCCACCCCAGCTCCAGAAAGTCAGTGACCACCTGATGGCAGGGCGTCGGCTTCAGCGGCTCCCAGCTGGGCGTCTCTGCAAAGGGCCCCTCCGTCCTCAGTCGAGAGGCGCGGCCACTTCAAAGAGAACCCGGCGCCAGAACGAAGCTTCCGGTTGAGCACTTCACACTTCAATCCCTTAAAAGGCAGGATCAAGCGGTGCAAGAAGTCAGCTAGGCGTTGTTGCCTTGATACAACGCTATGTGTTGCCTATGGGGCGTGATGGAAGTCTTTGCGGGACAAGCCAAGAGCTGCACTTCCAGCGAAGAAGTGAAGCCTCTGCCCGCGGATTGGCTGGTGACAAGAGGGAAGTGGGCAATCAAGCTGGCTCAAACCGTGCTAGAGGAAAACTGCTTCAGTGGCTAGGTACCCGAAACAAGATAGACAACTTTTGAATACACGCCGGTTTGGGGATTCCTACCAGCTTGTACCAGATTGGTGGCTGGCAATGATCCTTTCAAACCTTTGTGGCCAGGCCAAACTTGACTCTCCAGGTCCGTTCTACTTCTGAGGCGAACTGGAATTAAAGCTGAAGCCACGTTTTGCCGAGGCTTGCGCACTTGAATCAACCCGAAGCACTGAGCCCCATGGCGAGTTGTTGATGTGATGTGTGCTAATGAGCAGTCACACTACCCCAAGAAGTGCCCCACCAATGAAGGCAGCTGATCATGCAGCCAATCCCGCGTTGCATCAAAAAGCACCGTGCGGCCGTGGACTACTTTATCCTGGCGTCAATCTTTGGAAGGGGTAGTCATCTGCGTCGTCCTGTGCCGAGTCCAGGCCCGCGGTCGTGATTCAGATGTTATGGGGGGCCTTCTGATGGGCTTGCAAACGGCCTGTCCTGCACTGCGATCTGGCCTCTTAGCACGGCAGCCAACCCAATCCAACCGTCACAAGACATTTCAACCAAATAGCTCAACAACATTGATCTCCCTTCACCGCCCTCACGCTACAAAGGCGCCTGTGCAACTTCATTTGGATCTGCTGAATCCTTAGCCCACGTTCCCGAAGAACATGGCAATACAACGTCCAAGATTCATCAAGGCAAGCTTTTGTGAGCTTAAGCCTGGAGCAACGTAGGATTCGGGACCCATTGGCCCAAGAGCACAACTCAGGTCATTATTAGGTTAATCTTGCAGTGGCGGGCTTTTCAGTTCCTTGCCCAGCTGACACGAAAGAATTCTGAGCCATCTTGAAGGGCTCCCGACTTTCCGGAGAATTGGCTATCACTATCAGGGAGTCCCAGCACAGGAGGAGGATGCAAATGATCACCCCATGCCTTAAATTGCCGGTCAAAGGGGGGGAGGCCGGCCTGAGGCGTGGTGAAAGCCTGAGGGCACACACACACACACACCTAACATGCCGTCGTAACGGTTTTGGAAGACCAGCATGTCTTCGGACGACGCCCCTGGTGCACTTCCATGACTGCACACGGGCAGTTCTGGACAGCAAAAACACGTGGCTTTGGGGCATAAGCTGTGAAGAAACAAACAGATCTCAACAGATCTAAAGATGTACCCCATGCAAACCGTGCAAGCAAAATAGCAAGCTTATGTTGAGTGACCTAGCTGAATTTCAACAGGTCACAAAAGCATGATTAAGGCCACTTAGGCTACACTACCCCCCTTTGAAACAAGTAGTTCCTGTCTACCTTGAGGAGCGTACATTTGTGCCTCACTTGAAGCACCAATTTTGACATGGGGGACCGAGACACCGGTTTTAATGTGGCTTTTGTAAATCCAGTACACCCAGACCACTAACAAAACTAACAAAAGAACCCACTGTGGGAAGAACAGGTCAAAATAGGGGGGACCCCCCAAAATGGTTTGGTTTCCTCTTGGTTTGCCACAAAAAAAAAAAAAAACATTGGGTGGCTGGTGAAAACAGACGAGCCCCTTCTATGGAGCTTTCCACAAAAAACCACGGCAGCTCCACGGCCGTTTTCTGGAGGAACCGGCTCCTGGCGCTGACTCAGCGCCTGCAGCTGCTCCAGCAGCGCATCAGCCACCGCCGGGAAGAGAAAGTCCTGAGGCGTGCCCTGCATGTAGTTGGCGGTCTAGTGTAAAATACGTCCATTTCGCGAGAAAATGCCGCAAAATACGACATGTTACTGGCCAAGGCTAAAAAACAAAAAAAAACTCACCCATAGTATATGGTGTGTGGTGCTACTTCTTGAGCGAAGGGGTGGGGGAGATGGGGGATCGTCCCCGATTGGGATGGGTGCACTTCAGTGGTGTTTTTCTTCAGATGGGTATTATTAATATCTCTTTCCCGCCCGGCAAAGCAAGCTGCAGGTTCTTTTTTCCCGGAACTACCCTCCCACCCTCACATGGAACTTGACAGGGACCTGGTCGAATATTCAAAGGAAAAAGGTCCAAACCAGGACCCCAGGTTCCAGGTGAATTGGTAGGATGATGTTGGCTTTCTTGCCGGGGTGACCGAGACCGGGTGTTGGAAATGAACCGGTTTAGAGGATTCCCTTAACTACAGGAAACCATCGGATGGCTGGCTTTGCTCGGGGGAGGCATTCCAACTCCTGTCGGTGGCTTTTGGGGGCGGTCCCAAACGGAACGTAGGCTGCCAGATCCCTCCTCTCAGCTTCCGTGATTGTTGCAGGGAGGGTAAACTTGTTGGTGCTATAGGTAGGGAAGAACCGTTTGGGTCCGATCCCCAAAAAACCATAGGATGGACATATGTCCAGTAGTGATAGATTCCCTTGAAAACCAACAGGGGAAACTAAAAATATTTTCCTACGCAAATGGAAGTATATAAGTGGTATAGAAAGGCTCCATATACCTCCAAAACCCATACCAAAGGTCCACGATCTGCGGCTCCCGGACTGCGAATTGTTTCAATTCGTGTCGGTTGTTTGGGGCGTTCTTTGGCGGGGGAATCCATCCGCAGCACGCCACAAAGGAACCGCGATATGGCACTCCGTTTTCACCCACTGACGGCTCTGAGGTTGGTAGAAAAGAATCCCGCATCCCGACCATAGCAGATTTTGGACTCCAACATCAAGATTATAGATGTTGCGGGATGTTGTGCATCTTTGTAGGGTACCATCAGCAGTTATGCCTGTGGCCAACCCCATTTCCTTGAGAAGCAATTAAGCTTGAACACCTGTGGGTTTCCCGTGTCAAGTTGCACACCCGTGTTTGCAACTGCATCTGGCTGATTGTGCGAGTGCCGCGTGGGGGGCATGCTCCAACTGGAATGCCAGGGCCGTGATTCCTGCAGTGAGAGGTCCGCTGAAAGGCGCAGAGTGGCTAAGCTGGGCGTTTGTTTCTTTTAAGTCACAGGTGAAGGATGTCAAGATCGACCCAGATGTCCACAGCAAGAGGGGGCACTGCACTTAGAGGCAGAAAGTCTGTGACATGCGCGGATGGGACCAGACCTGCCGATCCGGCTTGCCGCCCAAACGGCGAACGGGAAAAGTCCTGCACCACCATGGGCCGCCCGCTGCGCAGGCCGCGCCGGAGTTGGGACAAAAACCTGATGCCGGACCAAGCCATGTCTACGTCATGTAAACAAATTCAAAGATATGGCTGTGGGTCAAAAATGGGTACCCCAAGTGGCTTGCCCTGGTAAATGGAACCAAAGACTAAAACCTTCGGTCCCTTGGTGGCTTAGTTTTGACCCACACTCATATATCTAAACTAGTGGCCCCAGACTGGCAGCTGCCGGCCTCCCCCAGAACCCCAAATGGCCATGTGTCGTAAGGGGGTTTCAGGTGGGCGCTGACTGGCTCGTGGCAAAGCTCTCCGGGCAGCCTCCCTCCTTTTGGCAGGTGGCTTCTTGTCATTGGCCCAGGCAGTGTTCAGCACTCCCTGTGGAAATGCGCGCGGGTGGGCACCCTCTTCCGTTTCTCCCACCACCTCCTCGCGCGAAGGACATCGATCCAAGGGTCCCAGCCTGGCCTCCGTTGCCAAATATAGTGGGGCCGATTGGATTTGGTTTGCGAGGAGATGTGGGAAAGGAACTGAAAAACCACCGAGTCTCCTCTCATTTCAGCCACAGCCTCCAGCCTTCCCAGCTCTCTCCTGCAATGTCTTTAGCTTCGCCTTGGGCTTAGCGGCCAAGCAGAATGCGCCGGCCAGCAAGATGAGGCGCATGGCACGCAGCTATGGTGCTGCTTCAGTAGAACTTGCTTGCATCAGTCGTTGGAAATGCTTGAGACAGAACAACCCCCCCACCACACAGCGGCAAACTTTGAAGGGCACGTTGGCTTCGAACATGGCACGGGGAGCAGGCTCAAGCCTGACAATCAGCATACTGTATGTTGACATGTCGCTCCTTGTTTCATGAGTTTGTTTGCAGCACTCATAGGTATCATTGCCACTCAACCTGAAAGCAGCCCGAGCTTCAGCCTAAACGGCTGCAAGGTATCACTAGCATCTCTGCAACCAAGGGAAAACGCACACAAGGCGCTGCATGATAGGTACTGTCCAGCAACCATGAAGCAACATTTGCGTGCGCCAAGTGGCCCATGTGGTTTCTTGTTTGGCCTTCGGAACTGGCCCCTGACCAACAAAAGGCTACAACTGGTTAAAACCCTTAAACTGCGACCAGGAAGCCAGCACTTCCCTTGGCAATTTGCCAAAGCATTTGGGTGCATTGTAACATGCAGGAACCCAAGCCAAACGTGCCATTGCCACTTCAGCCGTGCTCCTTCTGTGTGCCACTGGATCCGAGTCCCAACTATTGATAAAGGCACCTCACAGCCCTATGTTGAAGCACGTTTCCAGGAGAGACCCCGCGCCGGGCAACCATCCCGAAGCATGATTGGGCACTCGCTGATATGACATGTTGTCATCCATCCACACTCCCGGCAAAGAATCTCATTCGGGGGCTCCAGCTGAGTCTTGACATTGACGTGGAAAAAATGGCCTGGTCAGCCAACCCCCGTGCGACTGCCTTGAGCATCATCTCAGCCGCACTGATCAGTCCGGCCATCTGCGGACTGAAAGATGGCGCCTGCCGTGCGCAGCGCGCTAAAATGCAGCACTGGGCGGTGCAGCTTTCTGCAAATTTGAAGCCGTGTCTTCAAATTCGCATTTACATCCCCTCACTCCCTGATGGCCCCAAAAACGTCCACACTTTTGTATGCCACTACAATGGTGCTCCCAAAAAGTCTATAGTCCATCAACAAATGAGCATACAATGTAAATATGTACTCTAGCGTGCGCATGTCCCTTTCCACAATTATGTGCACATGCAAGTGGACAGGATTTGAGTTGCGTGCGAAATGTGCGAAGGGGTGCAAGTGCTCCAGGCACAATTGTTCTGGGATCACCCAGCGCATTGCTGCAACGAGCTTCATGTGTCATGAGATGGCACTGCGAGTGATGTGCCCCTGTGTAAATCCCAGCTTTACGATATCGACTAATATACCAGTGGCACAAAACGGAGCTTAATGTCATGTTGCACATTCGGCATTCTCGCAAAAGGAACCTGATGGGTGAGCCGCGAGCCTGTTTTACCCAGAAATGCGATAAGGCTTCTACAGGCACGGCCCCAGGATGGCAAAGATCTAGGTCGCAGTTGTTTCAAGATGAGAGGCGGCAAAAGGGCCGGTCCGCTAAAATGCTCACAAGGACCCAAACAGACTTAGCAAACATGTTGGTAACCATCCCCTACGGTGCAAGTGTGCCTTCTGCCCTTCGTCCTGGCTGGGCATAACGCCATTCCAGCCAATGACCAGCTCCATGTTTTGATTCCTCGGGCAGGCGTTGGTTTCGCTTGGCAAGTTGAGACATGGTAGCTCCTGGCCGGGGGGACCACAGACCAGCCCTGCATTTCAAAAGTCGCTGCAGCCCAGTAAGGGTCATACCGTGCATGTTGTATCTGAAGCGCCCTTTCGATCTGCTTCATTTATGATTTTCTGGGCAACCCCTCTTTGAACTTGGAGAAGCCAAAGGACAAGCATCGATCAGGCGCCAGTTGCGCGATGTGGCCGTTTACTTAGCTCTAAGCAAGGGCCGCCTCAATGGGAAACCTTTGGCGCACACCATATTGGGTGTCCGGCACTGTGCCCGGAGGGGCGAACTGCGGGTTCTTTTCCAGCTCCTGGCGCTTTACCCATCGGAGCCTCAGCCCTTACACTCAGGGCAACATCAACGCCCAGGGGCCATGAGTGCATCCATTCGAACGGGCTGGGGCGGGAATCACACGACAAAGTGTCAACTGTTGGAGCCCACTTTTCAACGAGCTGCGTCGCGGCACGTTGCGGGGTGCATTGTGTTTGATGGGAGGGCCCGAGCTGGTAAATGAAACAAGCCTAAATGTTCCAGTACCGTGGTAGCATGAAGCAAGGCTGCTTTGTCTACATGTGCGCTCTGCCCAAGCGGCGTGCTTCAGCGCCAAGAAAGCACGACACGCGCGTCTCACAGGGGCAGGTCCAAGTACCCGGTCAGGATCAGAACGGAGTTGGCCCCAGTTGGTGATTGAGATGCTTCTGCGAAATACGTGCAGAACGCAGCACAAGTTACAATGCCATGTCCCTGCAAAGCTGACTTCATGTGTGGCCCGCAGCTGAGCTGCAATGAGATCATTCTTGATTGGCTTGCAAGAACTAGCGATCTGGATTTCTGAAAGAGTGGTACCCTGCCCCTGGTGCGATCTTCGCACCAACAAAAGCATGCAGCGATCTTCGCCGCGCGCTGGGACTTGCTGGGCCGGGGCCAGGAGACTTCGCAAGCTTCTGGCCTTCTCACCTGACCCATACAATTGTATATACTTATATGTATACAAAGTGATTTACTCATTTGTTCTATCTATTCAGGTTGAAGCTTCGGCATAACTGTTCTCGACTTGCTGGGCGGTCGCCCTGGAATGGCAATCTACAAAGGGCACCCCCGAAGGCAGCACACTGCCCACGAGCCATCTCACCCAGCAAAGTCACGAAATTCGCCATGCCATGTCGATGACTCGTGGGTGCAAAGCTGAGGCTTCGAACTACTTGAGTCAAGCTCTGTCGGTGTGCAGCGTCGCATTGCCCATCGACTCAGAAGGCCCTGCAAATACCGACTTCGCCTCAAGCTGAACGCGTAACCTGGACAGCGGGGACACCGGCACGAACTCGTCTCACTGTTTACTTTCGACAACACTATTGTGACAGAGTTCATTCAAACCTGTTGCTGGGCTGTTCAACATGGAGGGTTGGCCAATCCTAATCCACAAAAGGGATCCCTTGCGTAACCGAAAATAAGGATTAAGGATTACCTTTGAACAGACATGTGAACATCGGGGGCAGACACATGAACCGGATCTCATCAAGCTCCGGCTGCTTGAGGAAACTATCTGCGCCGTGGGGCTTTCGTGTACCTCCACCGCTCAGGCGCCATGATCTCCATGTCCACCACCTAAGTAGAACTCTGGCGGCCAGGAACTTCCGAACTTGGCAAGTTGCCAAGTTACGTGCAGCGCGAACCCCCCAAGGGCGCTCAAGTGGCCAGAAAGGGATCTCTCGCAGTGTCTTCCTTGATTTCCTGCACCCTACGGAGAGCAAGGGGGAATAATGGGAGCCTGGTGCTGATCTAGGTCCATGCAAAACACCCGCCTGGGCTCTGAGTGCTTCCCGCATCCGTTGCAGGTCTCCGGAGATGCCGTTGACAGAGACCTCAACCGCGGAAACGAATTCGGTAACCGATACCTCATGCATTCAGGAAAAGGTCGGGACCGCAACAGTGCAGCTCCTAGAAAAAGTGTTGAAGCTAAGGCTCATGCAGTACAAATGAACTGCTGCATGAAGCAGCTTTGACCTTGCCTTTTGTTCATTCAAGTAGCCTTCGGCCACACTGGCACCTTCAGCCCAGGCGGGTCGCTGGTGCAACATCGGCCTCTCTTGTTTGGCCACTCGTGCAAAGAGTAAAACAAGGGTGCATCAAGAACTTCAGGGCTCCCCAACTTTGCACCTGCCTGCCCCAGTGGGACTCATCAACAATGCCAAGGTGCTATGGCGGACTGCACGGGCACTGCCAAGCCTGGCGACTCCGAACAGTCCCATAGGACGGTCAGGCATGGGTTTTGGAGACTTCTCGCCACCAACAAGGCATATACCCCCAGCGGCAGATCGGCTCCAAACCTGGCCAAGGGGGCTCAGTTTCTTGGTGCAAAGGCCGAAAAGTGCAGGTCAGTGGCTAGAAGGGGGGCCTTCCAAAAATCTGAAGCAAAAGTCAAGGTTTGATGGCTTTGTGTTGGGATGTGCGGCATGGCACAAGTGCTTCCTGCCCCGATGTTGACTCACAGCGCTTCCCTAGCTAGCCCGCCTTCAGGTGCTTTTTCATTCCACTCAGCCAACGCGCCATCTCGAATCCAGCTGATCACAAGGACCTCAGTCTCTGGCACAGCTTGGCTGAAAACAACCACCAAGCCAGCCAAAAGCCAACCAACTGAATGTAACAAACCCGCAAAAGCACTCAGGCCAGCCTTTGCGAGCTCAGAAATCATGGCTAGGCCAGGGATGACAGTCTAAAATTTGGTGTTGCTGCTTCACCCGCGCTGCTACAACAAAGTTAATTACTTGGAACTTGGAACCCTGTTGTGCCTGTGCAGCCATCATGTTCTGGCCACCAAAGCACAACCATCAATTTGCATAAAGGTGCTTCGCCACAGGGCCCCCAAAAAAGACATACCCACCTACCATGTCCTTACAGTACTCCTGGTCTTAAAGCCAAATTTGGATACCCCTAGCTCCTTGGCTCCCCTCCAACCAGCTAACCACAAGGCCTCCCCACACGCAGTGCACTTGCGCCCGAGGCGCCGGGTTCGTCGCCGGCCCCGCCGCCACGTTGCCAAAGCCCAGGCGCTCGCTCCCAGGGCGCCGCTCGAGGCGAACCAGGTGCCGTGACTGGCGATCGAGCGAGCGGCTGGGAGGTTCTGGCAAACGGAGTGGCAATAGAGGGCCCCGTACTGTTTGGGGCTGGGGGAGGGGGGGGGTTAGAAAATCAGAGGTGGACATGATACTTCATGGTGAGCAAGGACTCCATTTGGCTCGCCTCAGGGACTCCTTGGTTCGACTGCCATGCCGCGCGCCTTTCCATCGCGGCTCCCCTCAGCGCGACAGCAGAACACCGGATGGCCGGCGAAGCCGCAGCAGCGCTCCTAACACGTGGCCAATGCAATTCGCAATGGCAAACCAATTGCATCGCTAATTGCTTGGGGGATTCGTTGGCTGCCAGGCGAAGGGGATGTCGAAAGCAACACGATCAACGTTGCAAAATGCAACTATCTGATTTGGCTGCTTTCAGCCACTCACGACGAACAATCTCGCAACAAGGCCGAAATCCTTGCAGTTGCCATTGTGCTGTGAATTTGCTTTCCTTCAGGTCCAAAAAAAATCTGCCAAAGCAAGGCCCCTTCGAAAGGCCAGTCGCCGATACTTTGGGATTGCCAGCGATTGCCTTTGCATAGGCCCCAACCACGGGCCAACCAACTTGCATCACGCCTTCTCGATGGGCGGCAGCGAGGGGTTCCGTGTCTCCCGAGCACTGCGCGGAGGGTCCATCTCCTCGCCTGGCAAGCGATTCACTCCAGGGTCAACAATACGCCACCGGGGAACCTAACTCTTAACGCCGCGAGCCGCAAAAGTAAGAAACAAGAAGCCAAGCACAAGCGGTGGAACTAAACCACCAATTGTCAGGCAGCATCCCACGGATGATGCGATCCGCGCACGAAAGGGCTGTGCCATTTGGAAGACTATGGTTGTCAAAGAAAGGAGGAACGCGTCGTTTGGGGCAAAGGTCTCACACATTGCCATAAAGATGCTTAAAAGATATTTGGCGCTGGCACGCGGAACTGATATTGCTCGCGAGTGACACAAGTTCAGCTGCTGAAGGCACACCGCATGGTGAAAAATGACGAGGGCTTTCTTACTGCAAGCTGCCTTCATGCAAAGCCATTGCTGGCTGGCAAAAGAAATCCAAATGTGCTCCAACTTCTCTCCGTCGCCTGGCCCCTCTCGCTCCGGGCGACGGACCCGAGGAGGTGGCACACTGTTCCTTGGCTCAGTTGCACACATCCTTGATTTCCACACAAGGACCGCAAGGGTTGCATCTGAAATCAGCACTTAGTGCAGCAATGAAACTATGTCACAGTGCCTTGTTCCCCAAGTGGCCCTTGCTCAAAATACCGATGCCCTATATGCTCCTAAATGACGCGGTGCCACGCCCCCAGCCCTGGCCAAGCTTCGCTTGGTGCCGTGGCAAGTCCTCGCGGTAGAAGTCCGGATCTGGCATGATCCGCTCGCCTTGGCTCACGAGCAAAAGGGACACTGAGGCCTGAAAGGCTGGAGGGCCTCAAGAAAATTGACGAAAACCAATCTACACTCCCACTCCCACCAATTCCCATAGAACCTGACAGGGAGGCCCTGGAAGACCATTTTCCTTCCAAAGGAACCCCGTGTCAGGTTACATGTTTTCTTGGTGGGAGGGTAAATGGCCCAAACGATCTCTCTTTATCGCCTTGAAGTCAATCCACCTAGGGTCTCTTTCAAGATTTTCAAGCAAAGCCAACCAGCAGGCTACCATACCCTAGCAATTGTCAACCCGACACCAATGTGAATGGTGTGTCTAAGACTGGAGTGAGATCACCGGGACTTGGGCGGCTTTCCCAGTCAGCTGATCACAACCACTACAACTTGGCCAGTGACCAGCCAATAAAAGTGTACACTTTTTGGGGCCAACACTAGTAAAAAGGGAGAACCACCAAGGAAAAAAGTGCAAAGTGTGTACACTGGCCGGGTGAGTTGACACACACAAAGCCAACCAGACCCACCTGCGACTGCCCGAGCTGCGGCCGTGCTTGCGCCGCCGCAGCAGCGCCTCCAGGCGGGCGCGCCGCTCTGGGGGCGGCTCCAGGTCCGGCCTGCGCGCGAACCCTGCGAACCATGCGCACAATGAGTCGTACTCAAAACCGATCGGTAAGGTTGACCCCAAATTCAGCAACCCACAAGTGATGACTTCCCACACGCAGGGACACCCTAAGAGACTGGGGTTGATTCCTATGGGGTCAACATTGCAAAAAATGGCGTGCCCAGAACTATGCTAGGCGGCCGCACCTATGTTTGGATGGGAGTGTCCCTTACTAACCTTCACTTACCCGGATTTTGATCGTGGCGCACATGCAGTTTCTCAAGGCAAAAAGCAACAAGACTAGTGCATATCCGACGAACGAAGTCAACGGCCTGTTGTCAAACAATGGGATTGGGATTCAGGTTCACTGATCGCAGCTGCTGCAAAGCTTGAAGGGGAAATACAGGAGCTATTTGCAATCAACCATCAAGTGCGCTTGCATGAAGTTCGGCTAGTGATCCGAGAATGGCACATGGAGGGGAACGTGCATTGATGTCTTGTAGGGCATCACGATTCCCTTCTTCGTTGCACTCGGGATTCTCTCCGGGACTCCGGTGCGTGCTTTTCCCTTGCCTCGCCACCGGTGTGCCAGGAGTGGGCGTGGCAGTTCTTGACTCCTCTCTGGGCGTATCTTCCCTGCTGCGGACGACTAGGCCTCGGGCATTCTGGGGCAAAACGGCCGCTTAGAGTAGCGAGGGCATCCTGCCGGCCTGAACCTCTGCAAGCCAAGCATGCTAAGCCTGTCAACACTGCGCACGGATTGGTTTGAGCCGCCAAATCTGGATCAAACGAGATATGCAACACTCATGTGGCAAGCAATTCTTGAAGCGCAGGTCGGTTTACTGTATTCAAACTTGCCACATGAGAATGCCAAGCTGGGCAAGGAAGACTCCTAACTTGCAAATGTTTGAAGACAGTTGCTGGAACATGCCACGCCCAGACTTGAACAATAGAGACGAGCAGTGGGTGGCATGCAGTGGCTCAGTAGGCACTGCATTCCATGCCTGACGCGCGCGCGCCGTGTTGGAAGTAGTGGAGCGCAGTGTCTGTCAGCAATAGGAACCAATATGAAACAATCCACGAAGAAACGTGATACTCCCAGCCCAACTGCCAATGCACTTCTGCGTGCCTGTGGCACCTCAAGAAGATGCCTCGCAGAACCCGTCGGATGAAATCATACACATCAAATGATCAAGTATCGTTACCCATTTCTTTCAAAGTACGACAGGCCTTAAAGCGCAGCAATGCGCACTGTGTGAGGTTCAGGCCACGCTGTGACATGATGACCCCTTGTGCACCCACCATGTCATAACAAAGAGAGTAGTATCCCTAGGGCGAATTCGTAAAACTTACGACTTACTCTAGTGCTCATTTGGCTTCCAAAACTGCTGGCGTTCCACGTAGCCCAGAACCAAACCCAGCGCGACAAAGCATCCCTCCAGGGCACGCTTTGGAGGCTGCGGCACGGGCGGCCGCCTGCCGAGTATCAGGCCGCGACTGCGTTCGCGCCAAGGCTTGTCTCAAGACATATTTTCACATGTCACGCGAACTTTCTGGGCGCTACCCGCCCGTAATTCTCAGCAGGCTGGGCCAGGGAAACCATGAAGGGGCATTCTGGGCACAAATTTCATGCGGGGTATGAAGAGGTCTGTATCCACTCGAAGCCGACGATATGCAACGATTGGAGATGCATCTTTAACTTGAACGCAGCTTGTTCTTTTATGCCGGCATGACCAGCCTGATTCGAGCTTTGGATCCTTTACATGGGCATCGTATACACAACGCATATCCACCAACCACTTGAGTTGTTCCCATTTAAAACTCATGGCGGATTGTCCCAAATGGTGAACCCCCGCAATAGGCAGCCTCCCTTGTGGTTCCCCATTGAAACCCACAAGCACGGCCAGTGTTTCCCGCGCCTGCGCTCCTGGTGCACCAACGTCTGTGCGCGCTCTGCCACGGATTCCTCCACCGCCACCCGGGGCAGAGGCGCTAAAGTTGTGGTGACGTCCACAGGCTCCTCCGCCTGCAAAGGCCCAGGGGGTATCCGGGGAAGGGCACCGAAAGCTCCTCCACTCACTTGATGTTGTTTCCAGGGGAAAGCTTGTTGTGGCGGGTCATGAAGAAACAACTCAACAGGTGAACAGTTTGCCAACTGAACTGACTTGGTTTAGGGTGGGCCTCAACATGCTTCCCATGCCGCAACCCGAGTCAAACAAATTAAGCAGGATTTGTAGTGAGCACTGCGGATTTCTGTCGGGGCATCCCTTCTTTTGGCTGCGAGCGCGCTATGAGAAGTGCATGCCGACACATGGCCTGAGAACTTCCGACCCGAACAACGCGAACGCGCACCTGAAAGGGGTGATCAGGCACGTCAGGCAAGTGGTGAGAGTAAGCCTGGTTACAACCCACTGCTCGGAGACTTATAACTCATAACCTTGGAAAAAGGGTTTATTGCCATCGCTACCCATCTGCCAGAAGTACCCGGTCGCCCCTTTTGGCAGCAATCCTCCGCGAGCCAAACAACTTGTTGGTGCTCAGGGAATGAGAAATGGAATGACCCCTACGAAACATCCAACGTACGGGACTCCCCAATCTGGGCTGTTCAAAATGGGGGGGGTTGGCCAATCCTAATCCATAATCCTATATGGAAGCCACTACAAAGGCGACCCCTCGCGCAACCAAAGGTCAGGATTAAGGATTGCCTTTGAACAGCCCAGCCCAAACCCAGTTCAGTCCATTTCTCATCAATTCGATTTTGGGGATTCCCATAGGTTGGATGGTTAGGGGTCGTTCCATTCTCCTTCCCCACCTATCGCACCAGCCAACAAAGCGTCGACCGCCTCCACCAGCGGCGTGGGCTCCGCGGCCGGCCAGGGGAGGGCTTCTTTACCGCACTGCGCCACTGCGCCGGAGGTCACCTCCACCTACGGTCCATCCATGAATGAGTTGCATTTATTTGGATTTGGACCCTGGACCCCCCTCAACAAAAAAATGAGGTTTACTATAGGATTTGGACCCCCCGCAGAATGGCGCGCAAGGGCGTCCGTTTGGGTTTCCCTTTCCCTTTGCATCCGAAAAGGGATACTACCGCGCCAACAAATTGACTCACACCCAAGAAGCCCTGGACACTCTCGCACCGGCGTTCCGTTCGCCTTCTTTCAGGTTCCATGGAAGGATGGCAAGATCCCCCACGGAAAGGGGGGTAAAAAAGGACCTGGCTTGCCCGTTCCCGACAAATCGATCAACAATGGAAGAGACATGGTTGCCGACATGCGCAGTTGCAAACCATGAATCTGTGACGGCGCTATGATGGCCTGCCTTGTGTCTTGTTCCACGTGTGTTTGTTCTGCCTTGCCGTGCCTTGTTCCAACTCCTCCACGTGTTCTTGAGACTGAGGAAGCTGCCCTTTCATGTTGCATCCGTTTCAGCTTTGGGGTTCCCGCGATCCTAGCCCTTGACACTAGATGTGAGTGCTTCACATTCGCTGTTGTTTGCACTTGGCAGGCCCCAGCGTAAAAAGAGTGTCAAAAGGTGTTTGTCTTGCGACTTTTCGCGCTGCTAGCTCGCTACGCTCCAACCAGCCCTGATGAAGAAGCAGTAGAAAGCTTGTCTGGGCTATTGCTTCTGCAGATCCGTGTCGCTGCTGATTCTTGCCCATGGGTTGAAGAACAACACGATCCCAGCGATCATGCCAACAACATGGCCAGCACGTATATGGGTGCCTTTAGGGTACCCATGTTTTGGTGGCTTCAAATGGAAACTAAAAGGGCAAACACAATTTTTGGGGTCCCCCAAAACAAACACACCCATGCATGGTAACACATCTCGGGCCAACCTGCCTTAACCGTCTCTGCATCCCAGTCGTGTGAGATGTGCCAGGCGTGCGAGATGTGGTCTTGCTGCCATCCTGGGGCAAGCAAGGGTACCACACTTCCTTCCAATACATCTTTTGCATGAGCCGTCACTGGAACAAGTAAAGCGGGGCTTTGCTTAGCGAACTGACTGAATCCAGCTTGCTCACCTCAGCCAAGCAAACGTAGAGCTTTGCTTGTCATGCTAACCATACATGCGTTACTCATCCTGGGTGTGCCGAGTGCATTGCAACACGCGGCCGTAGGCATGCGCCCAGGTCAGATTTAACCACCGAAGGGAACCAAGACGAATCAAGCCCAGCAAACTCAGCTTCCTGCGCCTCCGTTCGCCTCCCTGGCCCGTGCCCACCCCTCCCAGGCCCCCCCCCCCCACCGCCCCTTGCCCTTCCTGGTGGCAACTCCTCGCACTCCCCAAGTGACTTTCCACACTTAGGCGTGTAGAGCGCCAAGGCCTGCGGACAAATGATTGCTGAACATAGATATGCAGGCTTAGGTGTAGAATAGGGTTGGGTGCAGCAAAACCATTACTTGCCCTCACACTCATAAGCTCTTCTTGGGAACGCGCCGGAGCGCAATAAAGCAAACTTTCAGGCTTACAGGTCGCGACCGGTCTGCTGTGAAAGGAAGGGTGGTTCTGCAAGCCCCACGGTTTTATCTTACGCAGGCGTGGGTGAATCAGAATGAGCTCCCTTATTGTGTAATAGGTCCTTACCTCCGGCAAGCGCCCTCAAGGCATGGGATGTCATTGGCCTTGATTGACAGCTCGGCAGAGTCTCAGGTTCACATCTCACATCAGGCCTCACTATCCCCAAAACCGGCTCTCATTTCCAAACACTAATGGTGGCACCTCCGACAAACAAACGTTCAAATTAAATCAAATCAAATCAAATCAACCAACCAATCAAATCCATGAATCGGCTCAGATTCATGCCTCCGGCCAGCATGTGTAGATGCCTTAGTCGCAGCTGCGATTCGCATTTGATCTGACGTGATTGCGAGCAAAGCTGCAAGGGCTGTCCAAACTCATCGTCCAGCGTTGCGCCCCTAACGTTAGCAGGTGGCATATTCAGCAAGCCTAAGCACAAACACCAGAAACACTACTGTGGATGGACCTACTAAGAAACCCTGGAATGATGAAATCCCCTCAAATACCAAGCAAACAATGATTTCACCCATGGTTTCACAGTGGTGCGAACGGAGTTCCTCCATCCACAGTATCTTCTGCGAGGTGCCTGCAGAAGGTTCGCGGTGTGCCTGCCACATGTGGGTATGGCTCAAAAAATCCCCCCCCCCCAAAAAAAAAAAAAAAACGCAGGTGAAAAGGTCTTTGGCTCCATTTTCCGGGGTTTCATTTTGGGTTGACCCTAATTTTGACCAGCCATGTCAAGGGAGTGGCCGCCCTGAGGCTCCGGGCGGCCTGGCTCCGCCACGCCTGGCCCATGGAGGCTGTGGGGCGCTGGGGTGCCAACTAGGTCCTGTAGAGAGGTTGCAATAAGGGTCCCCGTTTTTGTTTTTTTATTTTTTTTCTTCTTCCTTTTATTTTCCTGTGGTCTAATTTAGGTTGGGAACCCTCCCCCAAAAAAGAGACGGTAAAAAAGGGCACTACTGGGGGATCTTGCCAAGTGTGCGGGTCTTGGTGTTTGACTACGCGCCTGCTTCCGTGTCAGGGCTTGCCACACACGCAAAGCTAGCTTTCAACTGAGTAGATGTTCAGAAAGATACCTGAATACTCTCAAAAACAAACAAATTCAAGCCCCGCAGATGTGTTCTTACCTAGCCCTCCAGCGCTACCATGATCTGAAAACACCGTAAAACAGTGTCGTGTAGCGTTTGCCGTACTAAACTCACATCTCCACAAGCGGCCGCTCTCAATTGGAACTTGAACAGAGTTTAAATAGGACGCAGCAAGCAAATAATTGTTCTGAATCCCATTGCCCAAATAGAACTGTACAATTCAATTAGAGTTGAAATAGAACTTCCAATCAGAATGTCTGGACTTTGAGCACTAGCCCTTCTATTTCAAATTAGAACATGCATAGGAAGATCCTTCCAGTGGAGTTTCCAGTGTTCCGTCCAAATGACTTCTTACATTAAACACAATCTGTATAGTTGTTTCATCCAAGAACTCTTGGCACAGTGAGGAATGTGTTTTTGTTATCTTGCTGTTTGTTAGTTTTCTCGGGATTTTCTGGCTTTTGGCTTTGGGCAGGGCAGTGGAAACTGTCTCATAGTTGTTGCGAGTGTTGTTAGCTGTGTTTGGTTCTCTCGAGGTTTGCTTGCTTCTTTGGGAACGTGCGCTCACACAGTCCCTTGTTCCGGAGGGGAAGGAAAACACATCACTGGTGGTCTCTTGCAGGGAAATGGCCCAGATGCAAACTACAGTCCACAGCCTGTGTCCCCGGGCTTGTCAAAAAGAGAGTCACAGAGGGACTGATAGCACCACGCCTTCAAAAAGTCGTTTGATGATTCCTGGACGAAATGATGAGGTGCTGATGAATCCGAGGATGCAACGGTATGTTCGGTAGATTGTCCTGCTGCTTCATTCATTGGCGGCCACGCCAAATTCATACTTGCCGTATTCAAAACTTCTGCAGTTCACCAACTCTGCGAGAGATATGGTTAGCGTTGTGGATGTGATCTGTGCCTTCGGAGAATATGGCCTGATATTTTGAGCTTCCTGGCTTCCGGCAATTCAGCTGAAGGGGCTGACTTTTCGGCCTGCCCTTTTTTGTCTGGAGAATCTCGTTCGCTCTGCACATGCTCGTTGCTGAACTCCCTTCGGATTTGCGTGGTGTGAAATCCAACAGTACTCTCTGCTTGGTCCTATTTACTCCTCAGGCCGCGTCTCCTCAGAACTCAAGAGTGTCAAACTGTCCTTCAACGCTGGACACATCCAGATCCAGGTTTGGATGATCGCTTCCTCAAGAGGGTCCAAACACGATCACAACAAATCTCAGGCTTGGGTATGGGTGGAAATGAAACCGCTAGGAGACCGCAGGTTTTAGTCCTTGGCTTCGTTTGCCAGGGCTCCCTGTTCGATACCTATTTTTGAAGCCGCTTGAACTAACCCCAATGTCATCATCAAAATCCATTTGTAGTGTCGACAGTCTCTTGGAGCGACTGCCGGCTCCGGCCTCCCAGCACAGCGCAGCGCAAGGGCGGCTCATCCGGCGTGCCAATCGGCGCACCCAATGCCTGGGAGGACACTTAAAGCCGGGGAGGACATGCGTCGGTGGTTCAGCTTGCCTTTACCAACTGCCCCATGGCAAACGAAAGCACAATTTGTCAGCCTGCCTCAAACATGAAATGTGGCGTGTTGCAGACATGAAGTGCAATTCGTCCCGCCTCACCGGCAGAATCGTCTTTGGCACGGATCCTGCAGCAAGGCGGCGTTCTCTGGCGAGTTTGAAAGGCAACCAACGGTCCTGATGCAGGGATGTTAACCTTCAACGGACTGATTGCTAGTCGTGGGCTACAATTGCTGTGCTCTGTGCCGGCTGTTTGTAGCAATTCTTCAATGATGGCTTGCAGCATTCCACGCCACGCCAAAGTTGAGTGACGCATCCAGCACAGGCACGATGCTCTCATTCCAACGCCGCCAGTTCATCGGACCAAAGCACGCCCTGAAGGCGCCTTGCCAAGGCCCGCAGCTGCCACGGCCACGTCTCCTATCGCGCGACGGCTGAGGCCAACTGCGTCAGGGCAGTTAGCCACTTCAGGGAATCGCAGGTCGCTTTGGCTCCGACTCTCTCTGGGCAATTTCTCACAAAACGGGCGTTCAGGCAATGCGTAGATGCCAGGGGCCGGTGACTGGGCGGTGGCAGGGGCCAGGGACGTGCCCACTTATCAAGCCCAAGCACAAAGCATAGGCCCTAACTTCCTCCAGCCCAAGCCCAAGAAGCGGTCGACAGTCCAAACGGACCCAGCAAGCCCAACCGCATGAACAAAGACATCCGCCCGCTCACTTCCTGAGTTGATTTGCACCAAAAATTGTCTGTACCACATGAATGGTCTTCCCAAAAACTATAAAAAGTCCGCGAACTCAGGGAGTGAGGGTGCTTTCCGAGGCTCCTGGGGGTCATCGTTCTGAAGCACGCAGTACAGCTGCTGCCGACTCTCAGCCCCGGTGAGCCTTAAGGACGACACCACCTGGGCGGAGAACCGAGACAAAACAAACCCGGCGCTGGTAGGGGGAGCTGGCCAAGCCGGTGGAAAACATGTCTTTCATGTGGCTTTTCTGCCAAGGTCATATTGTTTCTCGTTTTTTTTTGTTCTCTCAGCGCACCCTCAGATATTCGCTCATCTGAGACCGACATGTTGAATTATTGCAAGCGTGCTGGGGTCGATTACTCTCTTGGTCTCCTTTCAACCGCACCCTTGTAAGGGTCAGCTATTCTGGGTCAAACACTTGGTGGAAATTGTGATTGCAAGAGGACAGAAGAGGATCGAAGAGGAATGAATCGCACCCCTAATATAAGTAATAAAGCAAATTGTTTTTGTAAAAAAAGTGCGGCCCCTTTTAACAAATATTTTGGGGGAGGAATTCGCCTACTTGCCCTTTGTAACTTCAAGCTTTCCGCCCAGGTCAGACTCACAACCTGTCTGCTCTGTGCAATATCAACATAGGCACAAAGCGGCGACAATGGCCACCTTGAAGCTGCAATGGATCAACCTAAAAGAAAGCGCACAGTGCTGCTTGTTTGTGCAAGCCGGTGTCAATACGACACCACTGTAGCCAAACATTGCTGCCCTTCTTCATCCATCCATGGGCCATGTTCAGCAAGACCGGGTGCAAGGGACAACGGAGGCTGCTCACCAGCTTGGACCAGATGCTCTCATTGAGTGAATCACTTGTCCGGGCGCTACTGGAGCCGTGTGTTTGGGCCGGCTGGAACCCGAATCCCCACCAAGCTTTGGCCCGCAGCGAGGTCTTCAAGTTCCCAGGCCTCCCGACATATGACCCCAAGGCCTTTCCGGAGCCGATCTCTCGCCGCAGCACCTCGACTCGAAGAACTGAGCTCGTTTCCCTCGACCTGCCGCCCAACCTCCCCGTTGTTCCCAAAGCATTGTACAAACATGCGCTTTTCAGCCAACCTGGGCCTGTGGGGACTTCCGCCTACAAATCAACCCAGTCCCTTTATGCGACTCCTGCATCCACAGCACACCCTCGGCCAGCCGCTCTGGGGCGCCGGGGGAAGCTCTATGCTCCTCCTGGCAACATGCCCCCGGAGGTCAAAGTGCAGGCTGTGACGGGCCTGTTAGAATTCGAATTGAACACATCGAACTCGCCAACTGCCATAGGCGAGTCCCAAAATCCAGACACACCCTGGGTGCAATCAATCGAGTTGCAGGGGCATTCAATAAGAGTTGGAAGGAAAGCAAGACCAACCATGAAACCCAATGAGCAGTCGTGGATTCTGATGCCTTCAAGTTCTCAGAGCCAACAAAAAGGCCTTCGGCATTGTGCAAGCCCAGAACCGATGACTAGCAGTGCTGAGTGGCACTTGGTTCGAAGCAACTCGAGTGAATGAACCAACTTCTGGACTGCCAGTTTCGCCGGCACCTACTTGACTCGACACCCGGCCTGGCGCACGAAGACGGTAAGAGCTGTCTTGGGGCGCGCCTGGCTTGAAGGCTTGGGCTAGCTCAGGGGGATTGGCATTTACCACCCGCACGTTTCATCTTCACCTCGCGTGAAGCCACAGTTTCACAGCGCTCGGCTGTTGGCCATCAAATGTTATTCGCGCGCCGCTTGCCAAAGCCTGCTCTCTGGCAGCGATGAATAACAGAAACCACAGCTCTCAATGACACCAGCTGAATGCTGGCAAGCCCCGCGCTGTAGAACCACCATCAAGAAACACATATGCGACAGCATCAGCAGTGTCGATGGCAATGAACACGCCATACGCCATGTCTGGCCTTGCCCTTGCCAGGCACGCCTCAGCTCCCAAACGTGCCCAAACCAAGGGGCGCAAACTCTCTTGATGAGTTTGACCTGGGTCACTCCGACAAGGCAACATGTTGGGCCCCCTTTGCAAGTCATGGAATGCAGCCTAGCAGCACAAGTAAAGCTCCAGCTGCAACTCTTCGCCTTTGCTTGGCCCGCGCAGCACTTCCAGAACCACCTGGCCCGGTGCAGAAGATGCTTTAGCACTAAAGCGGGAAAAGAGGTCATGTCAGGGAATGTGCGGTCTTTTGCTAGCCGCAGCAAACGGATTACTTATGTAAAGTCTGTAGTGGGCCCACATCAGAATGCAAAGCCATGTGTAGCGAAACACCCCGACAGCCCGAGGAAGCTCATCGCCAGCTTTGCATGCCTTGCTTGGATCATGCAGCAGGCTAACCCTGGCCACCCTTGGGAGTTCAAGTCACATGTCACAGGGACTTTGAACATGGGCTGGTTCTTTGAGGCTACTTCTTTGTTTCACCCCCAATGGACCTCCCAGGAATTCACCAAACGGCAAAAGGCCACCAAGAGATGATGCTAAGCTACACACAAACGGAAAACAGTTGGGCAATATGGAAAAAGAAATGGACACCCAAAGAACAGAACCTTCATGGGCGCAGTCCCCAGCCTCTTTGTAAGGTCATTCCGAATCGCCCGCGTAATTAAATCCTCTCAATTGGGCGGTTGAAGAACCACCCGCTTGGCCAACAAAAACGACCCAAACTGTTTGTTTACCACTAAAGTCGTCCGGCTGAAGTCCAAGAACTGGGGAAGCAAAAAAAAACCGCCCTCCGCAAACAAAGGTGTGCTGTCTCCGCAAATGGGCCATCCGAAATCCACCCGACGCCTGGGGGTTCCGGAGGCTGCCAAAGCCGCTGGAGAAGCCTGCGCTCAAGTCGGCTCTGTTGAATAGGGGGGGGACGGTCTGATCCCCATTAAACCCAAAAACACCCCGCAAATATTAATAAACAGGGGTTGATTACTATGGGGTTGATTCATATGGGTCAACATTACATGAAAAAGGCTCCCATATTCAATAACTAGACCACGGTTGGCCCGAAAGCAGAACATCGCAAGCGAGGTCGGCCCAACGCTGCAGGATGCGTTCTTTTTCCCTACACTTCGTGAAGCAAGCGCGAGACAGCACCAGGCAAGGTGCTCTGCGCAAACTGGTCGGTGCAAGTTGGTCTGCGCAAGTTGCTCTACGCAAGTTGCACTGTGCAAGTTGCTCTGCGCAAGTTGCTCCGCGCAAGTTGCTCCGGCAAGTTGGTCCCTGCAAGTGGCTCCCTGCAAGTTGCTCTGTGCAAATTGCGCTCCCTGCAAGTTGCTCTGTGCAAGCTGCTCTGTGCAAGTTGCTCTGTGCAAGTTGCTCTGCGTAAGTTGCTCTGCGCAAGTTGCTCTAGGCAAGGCGCTCTGCGCAAACTGGTCGGTGCAAGTTGGTCTGCGCAAGTTGCTCTGTGCAACTTGCTCTGCGCAAGTTGCTCTGCGCAAGTTGCTGTAAAATGCAAGTTGCATCTTGCGACGCCCGCCCGCGGACCAGGGAGGAATCGAACCCGCGACCCGCCGGTTCCGGGAGCAGGCGCGCGAACCACGAGACAACTCCCGAGGACCAGTTCGAACAACAAAAGTCGCAAAAAACCTTGAGTTTTTGCACCTCGACCACGCCGATTCCCGCAGAGGGTTGCGCGAGCACCGCAGAAATCGCAAAAAACCATGGGTTTTTGCACCTCGACCACGCCGATCCCCGCAGAGGGTCGCGCGGCAGGTTAGAAATCGCAAAAAACCATGGGTTTTTGCACCTCGACCACGCCGATCCCCGCAGAGGGTCGATTTTCGTGTAGTGTCGTCGGCACTACCCCGCCGCCCTAAGAAGAGATTTTAACTCCTCGCAAGTCAATTGCACTTGACTCCTTGCACTTGCAACTTGCACTTGACTCCTTGCTTGTTTCAAGGAGTCATTGCAAGGAGTCATTGCAAGGAGTCATTGCAAGGAGTCATTGCAAGGAGTCATTGCAAGGAGTCATTGCAAGGAGTCATTCATTGCAAGGAGTCATTGCAAGGAGTCATTGCAAGGAGTCATTGCAAGGAGTCATTGCAAGGAGTCATTGCAAGGAGTCATGAGAGCCATTGCAAGTTGCAAGGAGCCAAGTGCATGGAGTCAAGTGCAAGTCGCAAGTGCACGGAGTTAAGTGCAAGTTGCAAGTGCAAGGAGCCAAGTGCAAGGAGCCAAGTGCATGCAAGTCAAGTGCAAGTTGCAAGTGCATGGAGTCAAGTCAAGTTGCAAGTGCAAGGAGTCAAGTGCAAGTTGCAAGTGCAAGGAGTCAAGTGCAAGTTGCAATCCTTGCCATGACTCCTTGCAATGACTCCTTGCAATGACTCCTTGCAATGACTCCTTGCAATGACTCCTTGCAATGACTCCTTGCATTGACTTTCATGATGATGATTCCTTTCAATGACACCTTGTAATGACTCTCATGAGAACAATTCAAGTGAACCCAGCGGAAGAACCCTTCGCCATGCTTTCGGGAAAAAAGACCAACCGTTCTTGTCGTGTAATACCTGACTTGGCACCCAAGCGACCATACTATCACTCGAGTTGAGTGTACTTAAGCTTGAGCCGAAAATCAACCTATTCCTTTGTATTGCGTCCAATTCAAAATTGCAACCGAGGAGCAGAAAGCTTTCAGGCATCGGCGAGGGAAAAGGAAGACTCTTGCGCCGCTAGCCCCAGAAGCGTGGGCTTTCACTACTGGCTGCGCCCCACAAACCTGATACCATCCAGCAAAGTGTGTACATACCTCCTCTCTTTCAGGCTCGAAAGCTTATTAATAGCTGTTGCGCCCTTAAAGTCCCAAGATTCCCGAGCTTTGAATCCAATCCAACGTGACCGCCAGGGGGAAAACTCCACTCACCCGGCCGGCCCGACTGGGAGCACAGGGCCTGACGTCCAGCAGCCGGAGCACAATACAGAAGCTTGCCAGTACTTCTGGACCTCTCCTGAATGCGGTGGGATCCATGGCAACTTAGGCAGCCAGCTACACTGGTCGTCCGTTTTCAGGTCCCTTGCTAAAAAAATGGCGAACTTGTGGGTGAAATCGAAATCCACCCACTAAACACTAGAAAGCTGAGGGCCTCGGAACCACCAAGTACAGTAATTCCCACAATTGAAGCAACGTCAAACCTGGCCCAATCCAACTATCAGCAAAGTACAAAGTCTACTTCAATCAAACTTGCCAACACCACGCTCTCAATGAAGGTTATTCCGGTGCTCCCCTGCCCATTTGCCATGTGGCTTGGAGGCTCGCAAAAGCCAAGCTGAGGAGGAATGCCCGGCCTGGGCAATGGGCGGACGATGGCCACAAGCAATCCACAAGCATGGCTCAGTTGGCTACCTGCAACCCTTCGCAGAACATGAAGTCAACCATGCCCAATTGGCCATCATCACACGAACCAGCACCTAAACCACGCTCCAAGCAAGGCATGACGCAGTCAGGCTGACTAACAAAAGGCCCCTACTACCCCAAGTGAGTTCTGAGAGGGTGCTTCACTGAAATGGGCCCACCCACGTGCTGGCAATGTCCAGAGCACTGCATGCCCCACAGCCCCATTTGCCCCGTTCAAGCCATGCCCAGGCGCTCGCAGAACGCTGCCAGCGGGCCGGAGGAATACACCAAAAGCTGCGGCCGTGGTCGGCGACTGCGAGATGGGTCGATTGGCTCCTGAACGCTATGGCCACCAGAGCCCATGACTTGCTGGCATAAAGAGAGCCACAGCTCACCACTCCAATGTCATGGGAACCCGCGAAGAAGACTCAAATATATATATATATATATACACACCAAAAGCACATTCTGAAAAAAAACAATAAAAAAAGGCATTGGATGGCATTGGCTTTTTGCTTGCTGCCTTGGCGTGGAACACTGCCAGGCTCACGCCCAGTTCTTGCCAAATAGCCAGCTTCAACCTCAGCACTACAGCCCAAATGGTATCCCCAGTCCCCAGAGAGCCTGGAACCGAACCTCCGGAAGCCCATAGCTTTCAGCTGGGGAGAAACAAACGAGAGAGACTTAGAACTGAGCCTCGGTTACGTTGCAGTCAAAACTTTCATTCTATGTTCAAGCTTCCGCACACCTTTCCGCATTTCTCAGCTTCTCAGCGGCCCAAAGGTTCCTTCCGCTTCCTGCAAAGCCACAAAATTGGTACAGCAGCACAAAAGCAAAGCCACTTCCCGATTGCAGGCCGCGCAGCAAGCTGTTGCCTCATCTGCTAATATTCATTTATTGGCGTTCGTCAACAGACTGGGGTGCTTAGAAACTAGCCCAAGTGCTTAGTGTTCCGCTGGCATTGGTGCAGCGTGTAGCTTGGGCTTCTTTGGGCTTCCGCGAACCTCCGCGAAATCCGCCAGCTGTGGTTCTCTTATGCTGCTGGCAACTGCTCTTGCGCTTGTATGCAGCTACCCCTTTCGTCTACTAGTCAGTTAATCGTTTCCCCCATGCATGTCCATCAACACAAACTGAAACGGTCGATATCGAACCACAAAGCTTCCGCAAACCTTCCGCGATCCCTTCTGCAAGCCTTCCGCATGCTTCCGCGCGTGTGGCGCGCAGTGCACTTGCTCAAGAACAATGCCCCCGTCTTTGCTGGTTTCAAATACTTTTCAAATTGGCCAGCATGCCATCACTGAAAAGCAACATGGGAGATTGCTCCAAATAAATGGAAACTGAACCTTGTCTAGCAACGAGTGGCAACCTACATGTCGTCATTTCCCAGCCAGTCATCTCTCCTGCCACACGCAGCTCACCCGCAAGCTGGACATAGCTGCTAATTTGGCCACGTGCACCCGCAAGGCGCCTTGCGAGCGTCATGCGCAAAGAAACCATCTTCAGTGAAGCTGCCCAATGCCCCAATGACCAGTCAGCCAGCTACAAATTTGCTGCATTCAACAGGGATCCTTACATTATACACCTGAACATTGCCTTGTAAATTGTTGTTTCCCTTTATTTTGGTGGTCAAAGCCATGTTTCCAATGGTTGTAAAATGTATCTTTTAAGGAGCCCTGTTCAAACGGAAGCACTCTTTGCCGACTCCCCATGGCTTGTAGTCCTCCTCAGCCTCATGCAGCCCGACCCTGCAACAGTTGGCCCCTCCCTTACGCATTGCAATTGGCGGGTGCTGCAAAAGGGTGAATCAGGATTTGCATGAACCGCACGAGCCTCCAGCCGACCAATCGTTTTACCATCAACATTAAGGTCAGGGGGAGGTCCAAAATAAAATGTACAGGCCATTTTAAGGGGAGGGGGATCGACGGTAGGGCATGTGCTGAAGAAATGTTAAAACAACAAACTCGAATGGGTAACGAGAGCAGTTATGCTTAAGGAAACCGTCTGAAACTGCGACTAGTTAACCACCTCATGCATCAACCACTCCCAAAATAAACCACGTCTAAAAATGCTGAAGCTCAAAAAAGGCCCCTACAACCTAAACGGAATCGAAGATCAGCATTTGCGTTCAACCGGGGGCCCATGCCCAACCATTCACCAAATATCGTGGACAGCGATTTGCACTGTTGGATCGAAAAATGGCCTTCCTATCCCTCGTCCCCGGCCCCTGCCCCCCCCCCCCCCCGCCTGTGCGTTCGTTGCGCACCCGGCGGTGGGGAAGTTCCGGCCAGAGGTCCAAGCAGGGCTCGGTGCCCAACAGGGCCCTGCAACCGGTGCCGGCGGCCCGTCTGGTCGTTTTTAGGACCCCATACCCCCAAAAAGCCCTTCAGAAAAAGAGCCTCAATACATATATACATATATACTCACAATATGTACATATGATAAAAAAAAAAGAGATTCCGCATGCCAAAACTGTCAATGCACGAAAACTTAGCCCCATCAGCTCATCCCCTCTAACAAGGAAGGGGATTGACAGGCACCTTGCTTCTGAGCTGAAGTTTGCCTGTTCTTGCTCTGGTTCTTGCTGTGCCCAAGAGTTTGCCACGCTGGATGGGTCAGATTTGCCGCCGGGCTATGTGAAAATGCTAGGTTGGCTCGAATGACGTTTGCTTGCTGAGAAGTTGGCTGCATAGATAGTACATGTCCGTTCCCTTCCGTGTCAGTTTGACGTCTGCTAGAGCGGTGTGCCAATCCAGGAAGCGACAAACCTCGGATGCAACCTCCCCCCCACCATCGCACTGCTGCTGCCAGAGTTCTGGTCGTCCTCGCCGGTGACGCAAATCAACACCTGGAGCCCACAACAGGGACACCTTCTGCCCATCAGGAACGATTCAGTATCAAGCCCCTCCAACGCTCTAAAGCGTGGGAGAACAACAGCTTGATCAACATGCTGGAGCCTTAACCTTGGTTTCACCGCTGATTAAAGCGAATTGCCATGCCGCGCAGCCATGTTCAAGAGAAATGAAAAGTGTCATCCTTGCGCAAACGGTAACAAACTTCAGCATGGACAAATTTATGCCTAGGCCTAGCCTCAAACAAAGGCTCTGCACACTGTCATTGCCACGCTTAGGGAACAGGTGCCCTCAGAGACAAGTCAATACCTCGCTCGACTGCTTTCAAGCGCACATGCGGCACAAACCTACCTCCCCATCCATTGTTCCACACTGTGGGGTGAGGAGAACCAGACAGCAAATCAAGGGGAACTGCTGCAAAGCCCACTAGCCCATCCATAACGTGGGGTTGGCGTCGTTCGGACGCCCTGATGCCGTTGCCACCAGATTCGTTCATCCCATGCTAATGGCCAGTGTGAAGAAGGGTGGGGCGGCCATACGAAGAAAGGAAGGCCAACAGGAAAGGATCGCCTAGACGATTCAGGGTGAGCTTTGGGTGAGTGAGGCCCCGTCAAACACTTCGCCTGGTTACAGGAGCTTACACGCATACAATCAACGGAGTCCAAAAAAAAAATGGCTGCCTTCTGCGCCATGCTCTTTCAGCTATATTGTTCCTTTGGAAGCCACCGGTGCCAAGTGGCCTTTCTGCCGGTCACGACGGGACTCCCGGCCTCCAGAGGCTCGGGGGAATTGGAGCGCAGCCAAATGGGCAGCGACTGCGTCAGCAGGCTCCAGTCAATCCGCAGGCGCTGATACCAGGGCGACGCCTACGGGTGGCAACACTTCCGCCATCCGAGCCTTTGAAAGTGGCAGAAACGCGCTTGCACACCTCGGCGGCATGGCTTTGACACTTCATCACTTCGTGCTGCATTGCGCCAAATTCACCTGATTGTTTGGTTTCTGCGACAAGTTCAGCCCAACCCGCCTGACATATGGAGAGGTCAGTGGACTCAGCCCACATCGAGATGGCAGCGAAGCGGCTGCCTGCATCGCGAGAATGTCATCGGCTCAAGTGCCAAGTTCAAGCATTCAGGTTCTGTGGTAGGGGGCTGGTGTGGGTTTTGGCGCCCAAGGCGGCATGGCCATTGCCAGCCCTCAGCTTATCGATCCAACTGGCTGGCAGCTGGCGACTGGCATGCCATGGGCTAAACTGATGCTGGACAGTTCGGGGTGGGGTGTAATGGACTTCAGCCAGGCGGGCTACTGGTCTGACCGTCATCTGTGAGTTTCATCTGGTCTTTCAAGACCTGGAGAAACAAGAGCAATGCCAAAAGGAGTCAGAACAGCTACCCGTGGCCCAAGCAGACTGCGTGAAAGCGCGAATGCCAATTCTTCGGGACGTCAGGACTGGGACTCAAGGTGCTCGCTTCTGACCTCTACCACCGTCAAGCACACCGCAGTTCCGTTCCATGTTGTCGTTGGAAAAGGCCAGGGCATCAAAGTCCATGGACAAAAAAACATTTTGAAACATACACAGGTTGAGGACTGGGCCAAATCCAGCAACCACGCAATTTGTCCTTAGAGTTTACTATTCATTTTTGGCCCCAGTGAGAACCAGCGGCCTAAGTCCCAAAGAGCCGGCTGGACGAGGTTCGCATCCACGCAGCCGCAGCGCTGGCTTCTGCACAGCTGTCGTGCTCTCCTTCGGGAAAACATTTCAAGCTGCACAAGCAACAACTTTGCTGAGGTCGAACAAGTGCTCGCAAAATTATTCCCCGCCCTGAAAAGATAAAGGGCAGGAAATACGGAAAATTTTGTGTTGACGCCGGGGACATCCTTAGTACTGGACGAGCACAAGGCAATGCCGAGGCAATACTAAACCAGTTCTAAACTAATGCTACACAGTGCTGAACCAGCACAAAGCGCTACTAAAGCAACACTACAGAAATCTCAGCCAGTACAAAGCAATAGTACTGGACGAACCAGTACTAAACAGTACTTGCTGAGAGACTACTTGGCATCCGTTTTTTCCATATTGCCTCCCTCCCCCAGCTTGTTGGGGGTGCAGGGGGTGTGTTTTGCAGATCACCGATGCGGGCCTTCTTGTTCTCCGGCTCCAATCCACTTATCATCGGGGATTCGGTTTTGAACAAACTAGCTTTACTACAAAACTCCCCGACATGTACCGCTATACGCCACAATCTCGATAGCTGGTGGACGGCGATTGGAAGATTTGTTCTATAGCGTTTCGCGGGGTGATGCGCGAGAACAAGCAAGGATGAGATCACACGTGCAAGATGTTGAGAGGGGTTGACCATGTTCAATGAAAGCGAGCAGCAAGTTCCAAGAAACCTGCACATTGGTTCAGGTTGCAAACTACTACAGCCTGGCGGGTGTCAGCTTGCCACTCTTCAACAAGCAAGAAAAACAGCTACAAGCTCATTCAACCTGGAACTGGTACCCGAAAATGTGTGCGCGTGTGTGACGAGCAGCACTGCTCACCGGGTTCCCACCGGAAAGAACAGAAAGCACGCTCGCACGCATGCACGCACGCAGGCACGCAGGGGCACATGCGCACGCGCACCCACATACACCCACATGCGCACATGCACCAAACAAATAGCCAAACCAACAAGCAACAAAGCAAACACAAATATGAGAAAACCTGCTGCAGCAAAGCACATGACCCTAGCCCCAAAAAACCCGGGAACGCCTTTTATGCCCCCAGATGCTATCCAAGGCTCTCGGCCCCGGTGTCCAGCACCACGTGTGAGCTGAAGGGCACCTCCGCACCCAGGCGATTTCGGAATGAAAATGAGGCTTGGAGGGGGGGGAAAGGATCGGTTCCCTTTCCCCTTTACCCTCCCACCTTAACATCTGGCGTAAAAGGGTGGTCCTGGTGTAGACCACTTGCTTTTGAAGGGACCAGGACCCGAACGTCAGGTTTCGGCTGTGAATTGGAGGGAGGGCAATTGCTTTTTGGTTTGAAACCTGGGTGGCTCTTGAGCGTCTTGCGCGTGCTTGCAATCAGCGAGCTTGCGTCTACCACATTGCTGCATCCATCAACCATCAGCTCCTCTAACCCCCTGATGGGAAACCATGCCCTTTCACGGCATTGCAAGCCAAGCCTCCGCGACAACAAAACATATATCTTGCCGATTTTTTGGGTGTACAAGAAACATTAAGGAAAGCAGGGTATTCCTTTCGCTGTATCTAGGCAACAGTCGAAACGTTTGGAAACTGTGTAAGTTTAGCGTTGTGACATTGGTAAACGGTCTTGGCATGTTTAGTACACTGCCTTTGCTGTTGGAGGAACAGCGGTTTGCCTGGCACATGCAAAACTTTCTAAATGTATGATAGAATGCTTTGTCATCAACTCTTACTTCGGTTTAGAGCACGGGTAACCTACAAGATGTCACCATTTCTTTAAACATCGCACTATGTTTGATTGCACTTATGACTCAAACATGTTTGATGGCACTTGTAACGTACGCGATGCCATAGTGACTACTACCATTCTTAGTACTCTGCCAGTCACTCAATGTTAAATGAAATTGTTGTAGTTTCGTATTGAGGCAGATATTGAAGATTCCACGCGGTCGCAGCCAGAGTGCTTTTACCTTCGTGCGCTCTACATCCCACTTTGCGAATAAACTTGGCCGCATCCCTTGCTAGCCATGTGCTGGTATGCAGGCAAAAAAGCACATGCCACCGCCTGATCAGCATGAGCAATGTGATGCTGCCTCCATGATGAATGCATGCGCCAATGTGGGTGGGCCTTGTTCTCGCAAATCTGGACAAGGGCAACGTAGACAAACTCACCATGTCTATTCATATTGATTCCGCCTGATCTAAGTATGTGACAGCACTTGCAAGTTTAAACACGAAGTCATTATCTTGCAAGTTATTCTTTCACTATGAGTGAAAGCCTTTGACATTTTAAAATGTTCACTTGTGGCTTATGTTTTTCTAGCATCTCCAGCTCGAAAATCGAAACTTTGTACTACAAGTCTAGTAAGCGAAGTACACTTCCGCAGCGCCAGCTCGAAAATCGCAACTTTGTACTACAAGTCTAGTAAGCGAAGTACACTTCCGCAGCTCCAGATCGAGAATCGAAACTTTGTAATACAAGTCAAGTACGCGAAGTAGACTTCCACAGCTCCAGCTCGAAAATCGCACCTTTGTAGTACAAGTCTAGTACGCGAAGAACACTTTTGCAGATCCAGCTCGAAAATCGCAACTTTTTAGTACAAGTCTAGTACGCGAAGTACACTTCCTCATCTCTAGCTCGAAAATCGCAACTTTGTAGCACAAGTCTAGTACTCGAAGTACCCTTCCGCAGCTCCAGCTCGAAAATCGCAACTTTGTAGTACAAGTCTAGTACGCGAAGTACACTTCCGCATCTCCAGCTCGAAAATCGCAACTTTGTACTACAAGTCTAGTACGCGCAGTACACTTCCGCAGCTCCAGCTCGCAAACCGCAACTTTGTACTACAAGTCTAGTACGCGCAGTACACTTGCGCAGCTCCAGCTCGAAAATCGAAACTTTGTAGTACAAGTCTATACACTTCCGCAGCTCCAGCTCGAAAATCGCAACCTTGTAGCACAAGTCTAATACGCAAAGTACACTTCCGCATCTCGAGCTCGAAAATCGCACCTTTGTAGTACAAGTCTAGTACTCGAAGTACACTTCCGCAGCTCCAGCTCGAAAATCGCAACTTTGTAGCACAATTCTAGTACTGCGCGCATCTCCAGCTCGAAAATCGCAACTTTGTACTACAAGTTTAGTACGCGCAGTACACTTCCGCAGCTCCAGCTCGAAAATCGAAACTTTGTAGTACAAGTCTATACACTTCCGCAGCTCCAGCTCGAAAATCGCAACCTTGTAGCACAAGTCTAATACGCAAAGTACACTTCCGCATCTCGAGCTCGAAAATCGCAACTTTGTAGTACAAGTCTAGTACTCGAAGTACACTTCCGCAGCTCCAGCTCGAAAATCGCAACTTTGTGCTACAAGTCTAGTACGCGAAGTACACTTCCGCAGCTCCAGCTCGAAAATCGCAACTTTGTAGTACAAGTCTAGTGCGCGCAGGCAGATCCAGCTCGAAAAACGCAACTTTGTAGTGCAAGCCTAGTACGCAAAGCACACTTCCGCATCTTGAGCTCGAAAATCGCAACATTGTCGTGCAAGTCTAGTACGCGAAGTACACTTTTCCGCAGCTCCAGCTCGAAAATCGCAACTTCTCAGTACAAGTGTCGTATTTACGAAGCACACCTTGGCAGCTCCAGCTCGTAAGTGGCGTTTACGGTGGCCACGCAAGGGTCCCACCCTAACTAAGTTGCAACTGCAGGAATTATTCTAGAGCCGTGTGTTAGCTAACGGTTATCGTTTTTGGGGGAGACCTTATCGTTTTCCATGGTTTTGGCATGTGTTATGCAAAAACGTACCCCGCCTTGATAAAGTGGTCTTCGTGTGTTTTGTCCGTGGCTCATGTATATGACATGTGTAACCCGATGTAGGCAACCAGACCGGCGTGTACTTTCACACATCGACAAGCTTGGTTTGGTTTCTCACTGAGAACATAGATCTTCTTTCTGGATCCCCGGGCAAAGACGAAGGGGCAAGGCCTCCGTTTAGAACCAAAAGTTGGGGTGTTGCATAATCTCCCTGAAGCAAACAAGCGATTTTCCATCCTCCCCACCTTTTGTGCCCAAGAACTCAAGCTGCAGCCCAAGCACCACTGTGTACAACCCCCGCGGCAGGGCAACTGACACCAAGTGTTCACAGCCCGGTGTGGCAGAAACGTGCACCGGGGGCCGCAGGTCCAACTGATGGCAATTCTTCTCGTCGTCGGAGGCCTGCGCAAAGGCGAATGAATCGCCGGCGTTGCGGGCAACGCTAAGACTGCCCTCCACATTTCATGCAAAACACTGCGCCCTGTCTCAAGCAGTGAGCCCATCAGAGAAAATTGGAAGGGTCCCCAGACCAGCGCTGGGAGATGCTGGGAGAACTGTGAAGTAAGGGTTCAGGCAGAGACCTCCCCATTTGCAAAGGGGACGAAGCGACTTGCATGTGCTCGCCTCCGGGAACTCGCAAATCCAAAAACCCAGCTGGCCCGGGTCTACCGCATAGGCAGGGGAAAAGCACCGGGAGACCGGCAGCAGCGAGAGCGACAGAAACAGCTCCGAGTGATCGTCCAGGATCTCTACTCGCCACTGCGGCCGCTCCTGGCGACTTTGCCAGCCGAAGGTGCGCAGTGAACCTGGAGCTCTTTTTTTGGACAGCACATCCTCACAGTCATTGGCAGCGTTGCGGCCTTCTGAACCCAAGTCGTCAGCAGCTCGGTCCGTTGCGGCTTCACAGGGAAAGGCAGTGCGAATCGCGGTGAATCCTGAAGAAGCTTTGGGTATGGAGAGGCAATGCGATGCAATCACAATCCTGGTCAGAACTTGCACAGTTCAGACGCATCATTTTAGCCTAAGTTTAGCCTTCAAACGTGCCCCAATCGTGATTGATCGACATCCCGCTCAGAAGGAACATGCTGCCTTCAATCAAGGCCGGCCCATCCGTTGCTCCATGGAACTCCTTTCAACAAGGCGTGCCCTCCTCGGCGAACAAGTGTCCTTCTTCGCGGTCTGGTAGAATCCGGAGGCTTTTGCTGGTCATGACTGGAAGTTCCAACTCACTTTCGACAATATCAACGATTCTTGGGTCAAACCTGGTACGGAACAGGACACATGTGCCATGGTCAGAACTCCATCTACGGCCTATGGCCATGGTTTCCTTACAAGGAAGAATTACACTGGCCATTGAGGATCCTTACTACCAGGTGGATGACCATCCCTGTCAATCCCCTGAAGCTCCTGGAAGTTGGCCGCGTTGGGGCTCTCCGCCATTTCCAGCTGACCCAACCTGCCACAACTGAAACACTGACACATCGTTGACGTCATAATTGGACGGCACCCTTCCAACGCATCTTGAATTGAAGGAACGCCCTCCCTTGTGCCATGTTAGAGGACCCATCACACATAAAACTGCCACAGTCCAATAAATCAGGAGAAACAAATGAAAAAACACGTCCTTCCAGCAACCGAAAGCCGTAAAATCCTTTTGCACATCCAGCTGTAAACCATCTGGCACTGGATCTCAGCTTAGCGCCCCGCATCGCCAACCCCTGCAGGCGCTGGCACCGCAGCGCCGGCGCGGCCGCTTGTTCGGCGGGCGATGTCTCGGCGGTGTCGCCGGCGCGCGGGAAGGTGCCGAAGGTCCTGTGGATGGACACCCGCGAATTTCTGGCGTCCATTCCTCCCCAAACTTCCTCCCTGGCTGAACAGAATACATTGGACTATACATATATATAGAGAGATAGATAATATGTGTACCTTTCCTCCCACCAACCTGGCACCTGACAGGGGGTCTATTAACAAGAAAATTGATCTATCCGACAGGGTGACATGTAAAAAACAAAAAACAAAAAATGCAAAAAGACACCTTTGAATGTCCCTTCCAAGGGCACCAAAAGCTGGTCGTTTAAACCAACATTCCCCTAGGTGGATTGACCCGAGAAGTTGCAAGAGGCGAGGTTGGCCAATTTGAGGGCTCGAATTGCTCGGCCACTGCGACATAAGGTGCTCCAGCCTTCATACTTGGGACATGTTTGCATGGCGGGATGGCACCCCTGGCGTGCCAGTGGGCGGTGGTCACCGGTCACGTGACCGTTTTGATTGTCGCTCTCTGAACGTCCCCTTTCTGTTCAATGCACGTGCTCCATGGCATCCAGGATCTAACATCGAAGCCAGCAAGTCGGAACTTGGTTTCTCTCAATGGGCAATGCCATAAGGCCGGCCCCTAAAAGACCGCAGAAGGCTTTGCAACAAGCTAAACTTCAAAAGTCACCTGCCTGACATTTGCAGATGTGGCATGCCCGAACCATCGTCTCGAAGCAAATCTTCGCTCCCCTTTGCTTCAGGCCCTTTAAAAATCAAGAGGATATAAAACATATTATTTGACGCGCATGGAAGTTCAGCTCCTCTGGAAGGAGATATTCTCTTCCACTTCCCAGTTCTCAGGCTCCATCGGCTTTTGGCCCACCTAAGCATGCGTTCCCATTCCCATTGCTCACAAAATGCATCAAGCTGCGGTTTGAAGGGGGTCAAAGTTGAAGAAATTGCTCCCGGCCAAATTCCGAAATGATTCTTCCAACTTTTCAACGGGCCAAAGAGCAAACAACAATAAATTGACGACTCCAGCTCATTTCTGGTCTCCCTTTGGTGCTTAGGGCTGGGTTCCAAGCCCCAAATGTCCAATCCGACCAGCAACGCTTTCTTTGCACTGAAGTGCGCCTACAAGGAGAGTGGCAATTGTCCACATTCATATCAACTCCGCCCAAATGAAGTGGAGGTATGACAGTCAGATAGGCGGGGCACGGTGTGTGAGGTGGCGGGTAATTAGATGACGATGATTACAAATTACGATGAACTACGGAGATATAGCTGACGGACGTGTCGGGGCAGGGTCGATGACAATGGGATGCAAGGGGGGGCAGTAAAGCCGCATCAGGGCGACGACACGCCGATGGGGGTGAACGTGGCGCGTTGCAAGCAATAATTTTTCAATAAGACCTAGTTGGGGCCTAAGTGCTATGCCGATCGTGTGAAAAGCCAAGATCTAACAACGCTAACGCCATCCAACGCCCACACAACTTTTTCGGCATGTTGGGGCGGGCATGCTGACGCAACACCGCCAGCCGGACATCCCTGGCCCGTGAGCGATTCGACGAATTCGACGAGGCGCCGCTGCCATCGCCGCCGCCAGCGGCACCGCGGCCCGCACCCGCTGCAGACCACCGGGGCGCAGAGCGCTCCGCAGCAGCGCCTGGTGTGGCTTGAAACTCCAAAACGCCGCGATGCAGGTTTTGGTGGTGGAAGAAAACCCAAAATGACCCAGGGCGACATGACGATAGGGGTGCGGCTCAAAAGCATTCCATTTTTCCATTCAGCCAGGTTGGTACATTTTGAGCAGCCACGTGGCGGTCTTCGGGACCCAGTTGGGAGATCTGCCCCCAGGAAAGTCACAGGATTCCATCGCAGCTTTGAAATGCAACGACAAAACGTGCGAAGTGCCGTACCTTCATCGCAGCAGGAACATGTGCTTTTAATTGCTGTGGATGGTTGCGAGATCCGTTTCGCACCACCTAAGAAACCCTGGAATGATGATTCGGCTGTAAAAACCAACAAACAATAGTTTCTCGTAGTTGTTTCAAGGTGGTGCAGAAAAACAGCACTAAGGCACACACAAAGCACCACCCAATCGCAACGATTGCGGCTGTTTGCCGAGGTCACCCCCTCGCATCCTTTGTGGAATGGTGGAGCTGGGACACGTGCCCGCACATTTTAGAACAGAATCCAACACGTTTTGCCACGCAAAGCTCTCCACCACCCCCCCTCCCCCCGGGGCAAAACGCGCAAACAAATCTGCGAAGGAACAAAGCGAAAGGCGACTGAACCCATGCTTGTCATACACTGACAATGGAGCAATCTGTGCCACAGCGCGCCAAGCGACGAAACAAAAGCAAAGCCAGCACCCTGGACCGTCTTTCAAAACAAAGCGCCAGGGATGCAATGGCAAATCGAATGAGGTCAAGCCGCTTCTGCCATTGGCCAGAAAAGGAGCTTTGACCATGGAACATCTGTCCCTTGCCAGATACCGAGGAATCGTTGATCCTTAGGAACTATAATGGTTCCTGTTCCTTTTTGAGTGGATTGGCCCAAAAACGAGTCCGAAAACTGTTCATTTTTCCACTAGCGTGGCAACCAAACCCAAACAGTGAAGATCAAGTCCATGTGTTGTTCTTTTCTTTTTTCCCCTTTTTCCTTGTTTTCGGGGTGTGATGCCTGTCAAGGGTGACCACCCCCCACCCCCCCTCCCCCCCCCCCCCCCGCGCCATGGCGGTGCTCACCACCCAGGGCCGGCACAGCGAGGTGATGGCCGCGGTGTGGGAGCAGAGCGCCAAGACCCCCGCCGCCCCGCTGTGGAAGGCCACGGCCTCCGCGGTTCGCCCGATGGAGATGGGAGCGGAGGGGGGGGGGGTGCGGATGCCCCGCGTTCGGTTCGTTCGATAGGCAGGGAAGGATAGGGAAGGAGAAATGGAAATGCCGAATCGAAAAAATGCCGAATCGATAGCACATACGAACCATGACGCAGCACCATAACGGTTCCCATGATGATGTTGTCCACATCCTCATGATGATGTTAACATCATCATGATGATACCACAGCAACTCATGCATGGTGCGCTAAATTGACGCGCAGGCAACGTCCTGATAAGTTCAGCAGCATAATGATGATGTTGATACACCAGCCACGAGCGATCCCGCGCTACATATCTAGCAAAACGAGGCAGAGACAGCGGCATCAGGATGATACGAACAGCATCATGATGATGCGGACATCATCCTGATGACGCGGATCATGGTGATGGCAATGGTAGCATCATGATGATACAGCCACAAAATCATCTTGCGACAGCGTAATGAAATTCAGCATCATCCTGATGTTGACAACATCATGCTGCCACCACACCCGCGAACCATAACCCAGCATCGCAGTGACTCCAGCAGCATCATGACGTGGTTGCCAACATCATGACCAGCCACAAACCACTACACGCAACAGAATCGGTGCAGCATCATGATGCTGCGGACAGCATCAGGAGGATGCCACAACCACGCTACCCCGAACAGCACCCGTCCTAGCACCCTGCCATCCATATGCCGCAAACTGCAGCCCCGGCAGCACCCCAACACAGCTGTCACCAGCACCTCAACCGAACAGCACCCTCACCTGCGCCAGCGCCGCAAAGCGCATGCCCCCTAGCTCCCAGCCGTCGATCTTGCAAAACAATTCCCCTTCTTCACTAGAAGTTAGAACCCCTACGGTTTTCAGATATCTGCACTTGCGCCACCACCACCACCCCAAACTGCATGCCCTCTAGCACCCGCCGGCAATCTCACCTCAAACAGCGCTCCAAACAGCACCCCAAAACAACACCTGCATCAGCGCCCCAAACTGCATGCGGCCATCAATCTCGAAAAAATGCGCCTGCACCGTCACCAGCACCTCAAACAGCACCACAGAGCAGCACCTGCACCAGCACCACACACTGAATGCACCCTTGCACCCGCCCAGCATGCCCCCTGGCACCCGGTCGTCACCTCCACCAGCACCCCAAAGCGCATGCTAGCACCCCGCCGTCAAGCTCGCCGAACACCCAAACTGCATGCCTCCTAGCACCCGGCCGTCAGTCTCGCAAAACAGCACCTCCACTAGCACCCCACACTGCATGCCTCCTAGCCCCCGGCCGTCAAGCTCGCCAAACAGCACCTCCACCAGCACCCCAAACCGCATGCCCCCAAACTGCATGCCTCCTAGCACCCGGCCGTCAAGCTCACCTAGCACCCTAGCACCTGGCCGTCAGTCTCGCAAAACAGCACCTCCACCAACACCCCAAACTGCATGCCCCCTAGCACTCGGCCGTCAGTCTCATGTCAGTCTCGCAAAACAGCACCTCCACTAGCACCCCAAACTGCCTCGCCAAACAGCACCTCCACCTCCAGCACCACCCAGCACCCGGCCGTCAATCTCGCAAAGCGGCACCTCCACCAGCACCCCAAACTGCGTGCCCCCTGGCACCCGGCCGTCAATCTCGCAAAACAGCACCTCCACTAGCACCCCAAACTGCATGCCCCCTAGCACGCAGCCCTCAATCTCGCAAATCACTTTGCCTTCTTCATTAGAAGTTAGAACCCCTATAGCTTTCAGCTATCTGGGGGAAAAAAGGAAAAAACAACAACATCCCCGAGTTGGTTTCCTGTAAGGGAATCACCAAATGGGGAATTCCCCGCATGCTGGGTCACTCCCTACTGAGAAACAGCAAGCTTTGCGGCTCACGAAACAAGAGAAGTGATGGGCATTGGAGGCGGCGAACAGGCTGCTTCCACTTGTGTGTGGTTACTGGTAAAGTGAGCCATTGAAGTGATCAAAATTACTTTTGGAGGGACATGTCATTCAATCCAGCCAAAGCTAAACGGGACATTTGAAGATGAACTCCTGTCAAAGAAACCACCAAGTGGGATGTGCAAACGGCTTGTTTAACTTAAGCTGGTTTGGGCTGGTTATTAAGCAAATCGCGAATCCTTTCGACGGGTCCTTCAGCTTTGCTTGGTTCGGGCAAGATTGGTCGGCGAGCAACCCATCTAGGATTGTGTTGGTTTGGATGGATTCCGACTGATTTATATAGATTGGTCTCGGTTGGTGTGGAGCGGCCTGATTTAGTCTGGTTTAACTGGCTTATGGGTGCTTTTGCGCCAGTTGATTCAGCGGTTGCTTGATTCCTGGTTGCTTCCATGGCCCCAACCCGACATTCACGTAGCATTTTCAGTTCAAGCCAAGTCACAAAGGCTGGCTTGCACTCTGCAAACAACGCTGATACATTCCAAAAGTTCTTCGTGCCGTTCATACCCACCCCCGCAACCACACGCACACAGCCTGCACTCGCATTCTGGTTCCCCTTGTGTGCCCAACCGTCCCGCCTTTGGCGGCTCGAGCGGCATCAACGACAGCAGCCGTGGCACAAAACTGTTCAGGTCCAGCTCGTTGTGCTTCCTAGGGCTGGGAAGGAAGCCCGAGGAACCCTGCCTTAGCCGTACAACTGCCGCTCAGCGGCTAAGACTGAAGTAAAGGGCTACTCCCAGGGGCAGGGTACTTAGTGGTTGGTAAGCCTGGCTATAACCCACTTAGGAGACTTAACCGTGGTAAGTGGGTTAGAACCAGGCCTACTAACCACTTAGGAAGTACGATTGTGAATTCTGATGACTGGCGAATGTGGAAGATCAACGAAGAACAGCCCCAGGGCTCTCTTTTGTGGCCCGTACTGGGCAACCACAGCGCGAAGCAGCAAAGCACGCCAAAATAAATCAAAACACAAGGGTCAGCAAGGAAGTCACTCAAAGGGGGATGAAGAAGTCTGAGCGGATCACTGGCGCCTTGCTCGTCGGTGAGCATGTAAAAGCTGGCAGAGGCAGAAGACCAAAGAAGCTACTCAACCATGCTTTATGCAATCAGCACTTTGGAACAACTGATCAGGGCCCATGATTGACAACATGCACGGCTCCGCTTCTAATCCCTTTCCCTATTAACAAAAACACGCTGATCATAACATATCGTTATGCGTCCCCATACTACTTTTGGAACTGGCTAATTCCAACCCAAGAATAACAAGGCTGATTCCTTCTTCGAGGGTCTGGACCCCCATCCCCGAGGCTTCTCCAGGGGACCATGCCTTCTCAATTCTTGGAACCGCTCTAAAGGGCGCTACCCCCAGACATAAATTTACTTGATGATTGCTTTCCCAGCTGTCCCCCCCTCACACGAAGGTTCAACGCGCTGAGTACTCTTTCTCTTTAGGCGCTGTTTCACAAGCAATCTGGGCCCTGGGACTGGAAATGGAACCCTGTTTTTTTCCCTGTGGTCAAAAACCAGCTAGGATCCCCAAGAAATCAAACAGGGGATCCGATCAGGGCGACGCAGAACCGGCTTGGGGGAACCGCCCGAGAAAAAAAAAACTGAGAAGGCACGATACCCCGGGGAAAAGCCGATGTGCGTTTTTACTGTAAGGTACCTCATTTTTGGCCATAGGCTTTTCCCAAGTGGACAGAGCCACTTGGCTTTTCATTTTTTTGAAAAATAAAAATAAACATGAGCGAGCACGCAGAGGTTGGGGGAGCACGCAAACCCGGAGAAGGCCCGCAAAACCGGAGAAGGCCCGCAAAACCGGAGAAGGCCCGCAAAATCCGGAGAAGGCCCGGAAAAATATGAGTCTGTTTTGTTTGGCGATGTGTGACGTGCAAATCCGCATCCATGGCTGCTGGTGATGCCTGTGCTGCTGCTGATGCTGGTTATGCCTTTGATGCTGGTGATGCCTCTGAACTGGCAATGCCTAAAAGTATCAGGCCAGAGCCAAGGCTGCCAAACCAACATGCCATCCCTTGAGAAGGCACGCTTATCTGGGGGAACCCGCAAAATCCAGAGGACGCGTGTCCAGACTTCCGACTTCTTGCGGGGTACTCCAGCATCAATACTACAGTAAATCAATACCAAACCAATGCGAAGGCAAAACCAAACCAATGCTCAAAGCAAATCAACACCAGCACACGTCCGAAAAATGACTTGATTCCGGCTATTCAAAGTCCTTCCTCTGAAATTGCAATTTTGAATGGTGTTTGGGCTCGGAAAGGGGGGGGGACCCCATTTGGACAAGAACCGTGGCGGAAAATCCGACCCCAAATTGCCCCATCTATAAATATCATTCCGGCCACCAAAAAAATATGAACAACATATGTACTTAAGTGGGGGATATGTATTTAATGGGGGTGGGTATCTATTGGAAAAAAGGGACCGATGAACAATCCTCACTCCACCGGCAGCTCCCCGCTCTCGGAGATCGGTAGATCGGCTGGGCGTCTTCGCGGAAAGCGCCAGGGAGGCCATCAGCGCCTTGAAGGCCTCAGCGCAGTTGGCGCCCAGCTTCGCCAGCAGCGCTGGCAGCACTGGGCTGAAGGCCTCGGAAGGAAGGAAGGAAGGAAGGAGCGCGTCGCCGAGTTGGCATTGTGGGGGTTGGTTTGAAGGGAAACCAATAGGAAAACGAAAATACACTTTGGCAGGCCCCCCCCCAAAAAAAACACACACACACACACACGCACACACGCACACAGAGACCCAGAACTTGCTTGTTCACGACTGGCGCCACCTGCCACAAGGCCCATGCCTCCCCCATCCCCCAACCAAACCGCAAACCAAGCAACCCAAAACTAATATGACTCAGCGACACACTGCTACCCGCCCCGCCCCCCTTCTCAGAAACTTCACCTTCAAACCCGCCTCCAGCGGAAGACACGGGGACAGCGCCGCACTCGCAGCAGCGAGAGCTTGCGCACTGGCGTCAGCGAGGCGCAGCTGACAAAGAAGCTGCTCCTACCCCCGGAGCATTATGAACATGGAAATGCAAGTTCCTCCTGGTAAAGACTCAGAAGGGACCAACTTACAGGGGCAGTGGTAAGTGACTAATAACTTACCATTGTTCTAACCAACTTACCATGGCTATAAGTCTCCTAAGTAGGGTATAACCAGGCTTACTAAACACCTGCTACGTACACTGCCCCTTTTCGAGGAAGCTCGCAAATTGTTTGGGCTCGACGTCCCGTGGGCTTACACAACTCAGACACACTGTCCGCCAGTGCCGGTGCCAGCGCAGCAGCCGCCGCCTGCTGGGGGCCGCCCGCACCAAGCCCGCCCCGCAGCAGTCGCACCACCAGGGCGCAGAAGATTTGCAGCAAACGGTCACTGCTGGGATGCCTGGGGAACAAACAGGCCAGAGACCTAAGAGGAATTGGATGCAAGGCCTTCTAGGCTTCCAGTCTTTGGCATGGCTGGTCTCAACAACGTTTTGAGGAAAATGCGCACAAAGGCCGTGAGATGGGGATGTCAGGGCTTCCTGGCCCAACTTCGATGGCAAGTGGGGAGCAACATCAAACAATCTGAGTATAGAGCAGCGTCCATTGCCTGGCACAGTTCCGTCTGGCCAGCGATGTACGACATTCTGATTGGTGTGAGTTAGCTTAAAATTGGCTAGAAAACCCAGGAAAACAACAGCACCAGGCCGAACATTTGGCCGAAGTCCTGATCATCGGGTCTTTGCTCGGCCGCGGGTTGCGAGACTGACAGAGCGGCCTGATGGCCACTGCCAGCAGCTCGAAGATGCACTGGGACACCAGGAAGCAGCGCACAGCACTGCAGGCCTCGGATTTGTCGCACGCACTGCAACTCTAGGAGGTGGTTTTTTTCTTTTTCTCTTTTTTTGTGATTTACAAGCTGATTGCTGCGAGGCTGCAAGCCAAGCCCATTTTGGTGTGGGTAAAAAACAGGGTACCCCCAAAATGGAACCCTGGTAAATGGCAACATGGACTAAAACCTACAGCCCATTCTGCAAACATCCTTCCCTCATCCCCAAAAGGAGGTAAGCAATGCGGCGCATCCGCAGCCAAAAGAAGCCCGCTGCGGAACGTTTTGCACCTCCCTCAGCACGCTCAGCTTTCAGCACCGCAGGACAAGCCTGCCCGGCCGCGACAGGGATAAACCTGGCGGCTGAAGTGAAGCCCCTGGGCACTAGCAGCAATGCAGGGTCTAGAGTAAAGCCTCCCGCCCACTGCCACGTGGAACTCCGTCATGTCTTTGTTTGTTACTTGCTTGATCTTGTTTGTTTGGGGGGGTCCTTGGCCGGCTTGGTTGCAATTGTCCAGGGAAGATGTAAGCAGCAGACTGAACTAGGGTGAAGGCTTCTACAACCTGAACACTATTGGTTTTCTGTGTGTTATGGTCAAACTCCTTGCAATCGGGATGTTGGTGGCAGTCACCGCGGAAAGCAGCACATCATAGGTACAAAAGGGGTATGCAAGACCAAAGGTCAAAGGATTAAGGGTCCATTGGCAAAGGCCTAATGTGGCACTTCCAAGGTACCAAGGGCATGGCCATGATTCCCCATCATAAATACTCTTTGCCAAAACTCTTTCGAACCTCGATCAAAGGGCAAATGTCCACCAATGCGCTTACCCATGGCTCATGTTTCATATTGTTCATGGGCCTAAGGCCGAACTGATGCCGGTGTTGGAATGCAATGGCTTTGCGACTCTTTCCCAAGTAGTCAGCAATAATTAGGTATGATCCTCATTCTGTTCCTGTACCTCCCACCTCACGTGGGCGGTTGGCGTATGCACACTTTCAATATGCAAGAGTTTGATCAAGTTTCATAATGCAATCCCTCCCTTTCCTGTGAAACGAGACTTGTCGAAACCTTAAAGCCGAAACCTTGAATCCTGATGACTACCTTGCTCTTTGCGGCAGGCGCCTCAAAAAGATTAGCCAAATCATTGAGCTCCACATTAGCAGGTGGGGGCTATAGGTAAGGAATGCCGCCGGCCGGTGTGGGCCAACGTCTGGTGGCCAAACCAATTGAGTTTGCCAGCTGTGCTTTAACGAATTCCCGGCCTCTTGCAAGCAAGGTGGGCCTGCCATCACGTGCCACAGGCCGTCCTAAACATCCTGAACAATTTTCAGCTTGCAAGGCCCACCACTGTTGCAAGGCCCTTCACCCGAGCACAGGCGCGAACCGGCGCCGGTTTTATATGGCGTGGGCGCTGGCGCCAGGTCGGCCAGTCTGGGTGGTAGGTTCGACGATCCGAACCGGAGCGAGTTTCCAAGGAGAGGAGGTCAGAAGCACCGCGAGAAAATACCAATGCTGGTGACTTCCAAGTCGTAAAACAACAGACTGAAAGACTGCAAAGTCATAAAGTTGCCTCCTTGCACGCCCCTTTGCCTTGCCCAATGATACGACCCATGGCCAGGCAGAATGTCTCAACCTTGGACGTTCTTGAACGTGATGGTACTTACCAAAATGGTCCAGCTTGCTTTTCCAGCTTCCCAAAGCTACGAGCATAAAAGGTTCGCTCCCCGAGTTCAACCATGAGTCAACTGTGTGCAAGTGCCCGGAAACAGCTCAAGATTCTGACACTTTGCGGATAAACTGTACACCTTGAACACAATTTGAAGGGACTCAAAAAGGTGCCATCGTGGGTGTATGAAATTGGTTCTGCCAAGGTTGCCTTCCTAAGACTCCTCTGCCTTCCATCCAGCAGAACAGGCACATGGGGCCTGAATGAAGCTGTACAGTCAAACGATTTCATCGTTTGCGTGGGACCAAGTTGCTGAAGGAACCCTTTCAAAGCTAGCAGCACCTAGCAAATGAGAAACAAACATGCACTTGCAAACATGGCAAGGATAACTGTTGTTGTACTGTAAGCTGCTTTCATATTGACGCGACAGCGTCAGCAACTGAGTCACAGAACGGTTTCCCCCACAGTCTCTCCTGTGGCTAGCCGTCCAGAAACAAAATCGAGGCCGCCGGCCCTAGGTTCATTCTCGTGAATGGCTGACGACGTGGCGTCCAATTTTCCGAATTTGCAAAGCACGAGCTCCGCACTTGGTGAGCTTCCATGGCTTGTGTTGAATTGCATGAGTTACATGTGCCGGCATATCCAACCCTGGACCTTACAATGTTCGCAATTTGCAAATCATTTTCTTGTCCTACCGGCCACATAAGCAACACCCCAGTGGAGATCGCCCTCACTTTTCGGCTGTGTCCGAAACCACGGGCCAGGGCCCAGCCACAAAAAAGGCGCAGCCCGCTCAGAGCTCAGGCAAGGGCGCAGCTGCAGCCTGCTAAGGTGTCCGGCTGGGGGTCCCACATCATTGCCTAAGTCCCATGAACCCAACCCAATCCAAACATGGAGCCCAGGAGCCAACTGTAAGGTTTGTTTCTGTGCCAGTCGGGGGTCAAAGGTTCAAATCTTGAAGGAACCTGAAGCATGTGGCCGGTGGTCTCCCTGATCCGGCCATTGGACCAATAGAAAACGCCAGTTGCATCAGCTCAACGCTCCCACGACCAACGCACCTCCGTCCCAACCCGAACATCCCAGCTCCAACGATTGCATCTTTCCAGAACCAAGATGCTGTTAGCTGCTCAGAAACTTCCTGGGCCGTGTTCCCGAGCTTCTTCTGGGCCAGGCCAGCTTTCTGAGCAGCGATGACCACAGCGACCGCCACATTGTGGCCGACCTCCCGGATGCGGCCGGTGTTGGGCATCACAGAATCACCTTCGATGTCGACCTTGTCAAGGGAATTGGCCACTGCTTCCGCGGCTTCCATGAAGAGCTTGTCTGGGATGGTACTGGCTTCGCAGCACATGCAGCCGAAGGACATGCCGGGAAAGATGAAGAAGTTGTTGACCATCCCGGGGGCCCGCATCTCGCCGTTCACATTCACAGGAGGGAATTTGGTGCCTGACCCAAAGATGGCCTTACCCTCTGAGAACGTATAGCAATCCTCCGCAGTGATCTCAGCTTGCGTCATTGGGTTGGACAACGCGAAGATGATAGGTCGAAGTCCGTCATGTGGCTTGCTGGCTTGGACACTCATCATTGCCTCAACCACTTGCTTCGTGAAGCAGTTTGGCGCGCGGCCGACTGCTCCAATGAGGATGTCTGGCTGATGGTGCTTGATGATTGAAACCAGGCCTGTGCGGTCGTAGCCCTGGGGCTCCCCTTCTACTGCCACAGACTTCTGCTCATCATTTCGGAAGTTGCCCTGGGCTCCATCTGCGGACTTCCAGATCACACCCCTTGTGTTTGTCAACATGACCGCACTTCGAGGGACCCCGGCTTCTTTGACCATGAGATCTGCTGTGCCAATGTTTGCGGATCCAGCCCCGTGGAAGAGAACGCGCATGCCCTGCAGTTCCCCGAGCAAGTTGGTGCAGCCTGGCTTTTGCAGCTTGATGCCACCCAGCACTGCAGCGATGGCCACGGAAGCGGTGCCCTGGATGTCATCGTTGTAGGTCAAGAACTTGCCACGGTACTCCTCCAACAGGGGGAAGGCGTCATTGGAGTTGAAGTCCTCAAACTGCAGCAGGCAACTCCTGCCGAAGAGCTCTCTGGCTGCAGTCATGAACTCACCGATGAAGGATTCTGGACCGTAGTAGGCAGTGTTCACTTCCGTGCCTTGTGGGCAGGTGTGTTTCACGCGGTTCTGCTTCATGCCCGTGTACATGGCGTGATCCCGAATGGTGAGCTTTGCAGAGTTGCCGCTGGCATCCGTGCAGCCTGCATCAATGATCACCGGCATGGTTTTCGTCGGGTCGAAGCCCCCGCACACGGTGTACAGGTCCAACTTGCCGATAGGGATGCCCATGCCCCATGCCCCAAGGTCACCCAGGCCAAGAATGCGGCCACCGTCCGAGAACACGATGCACTGGCACTGCGGGTTTCCCAGTGAGTCTTTGGGCAGCATGGCATCCGCGTACTCTTTCAGAACCGCCTTGACGTTGCCCCGGTCTGCCAAAGACACGTAGCAGCCACGCGGGAGGAACGGCAAAGTGCCAAACTTCTGGCAGGCCTCTCCCACCGTTGGGGTGTAGACAATGGGCATGAGGAACGCAGGCTCCGCCAAGAGCGTCTGAAAGTAGAGAGTCGGGTTCTTGTGGTGCAGCATCCGCAGGTAGGCGTAGGCCCAGAAGTGGTGCCCAAGACTGCAAAAGCCACGAACCTCTGCCAAAGCTTCCGGAACGGTCCGGGCCTGACAGCTGCAATCCAGGATGCGCAGCACCTCGCCCACGCCAGCCTGCGCGTTCCAGCGCCCAACTCCTCCCATTGTATCGCACACCAAGATTGCAAATAAATCCCCTACACCACCTTGAATCACACACTTAAAGCTGCCCTCTCACTTCCCCTCTGACTGACTGCCTGACTGGCTGACTCACTGACTGACTGAGCGAAGGAGGGGGTGAGTGCGTGAATGAGTGAGCGAGTGGCTGAGCAACTCAGTAACTGAGTGAGACCGAGTAACTGGCTGGCTGACTAACTGACTGACTGACTGGCTGGCCAACTGAGTGAGTGAGCGAGTCAGTGAGCGGGTGGGTGGGTGAGTGAGTGCGTGAGTGACTGAGTGAGCAGAGAAAGAGAGTGACACGCACACAAACAAACAAACAAACAAACAAACAAACAAGAGGCAAACACAACTACACCCATGCGGACACAAGCACACAGCCAAACACGTGGACACACACACACACACAAACACACACACACACACACACACACACACACACACACACACACACACACACACACACACACACACACACACACACACACACACACACACACACACACACACACACACACACACACACACACACACACACACACACGCACAGAGATACATAAAAGTACATACATGCACGCAAGCTCCTTCTGAATCACATTGCGCAGTCACCACATGGTGAATGGTGATACTTCATTCCCATCTGCTGATGCTCTCAATGATGCGCGGTCCCATTTCATCTTTAACTACAGACTATAGCTCACTCTCGACAAGCAAACCATGTTTTGAACAGAATGCGTCGTTTGCCTATTTCAAGTCAACGCTTGTCCAGCACCATTTCAGAAAGCTTCAACCAAAGCAGTCAAGGCAAGCGCAGTTCACCACGGATGTTTCAGAACTCATAGAGATGTCTGCTAGAACCCGGTCACTTCACGTTGATCCCGCAGAGCTGGTGTCCAGATAGAAGGAAGATGCTGCAGGAATGCTGTAGGAAACCTTTCAAAGTTTCAACAACCACCATGCACTCGCACCCCTTCCGTCCTTGCTTAGCCACACATTTTGGCAGCGACAAGTACCTGCCGTTCACCTCCACCAGCACCATGACTTCCGAGCGTGAAATTGAGCGGATCAAGAGACAGCCCAGCGGCTTAACCAGAAACGGCTTGCGGCAAGGCTGAAGCTGTTCCCGTGCGAACTTCGCTCGGTGCCAGGCAGGTTGGCCCAAATAAACAACTCGGGACAATGACTCCTTTTTCTCGCTCCCATCGCACGGTCGCCTTGCAGGTGAGCAATCGTGAGATGGAGTTGCCTCAAGGACTGCTGCAAGGTCTTTGGCCCCATGCCAAAAAATCCCATGTGGGTGTGGCTCAAAAATGGGGGTCCAACTTGGAACCCTGGTAAATGGACAGGTAGACTAAAACCCGCGCCCCAGTTGCTTCATTTTGAGCCACATGTGAATTCTTGGCAAGCGCCTTGAGACCAAAGGCATGGGCAGCAAGTCGCGAAAATTGATCGCACCGGCGAAGATCACCAGACATGGGCTGGCGCAACGACCGGTTTACACGGACCCCAGCTTTGCCGTCCCCTGGCGGAAAAAAAAAAGCCATACTGCTCCGTGCGGCAATGGAAATCCACAAAAACTGCCGGCTATGCTTGCAAATCACATCTTCCGCTGGGGATGCGAAAGCTTTGAGGATATGCCCGAACAAAACTGGAGGCAATGAGGCGGAGATTGCGGGGCTAGGACGTGGTTCGCACGTATCGTGCCCCGTGCAAGGCCTGGGCACACGGACGCCAGCTTCCACGTAGCTAGACGAATCTCGAGTCATCTGGTCAATGCTCAAGATTAGAGGGAGGATCCGATTGTCATCGCCAGGCCTGTGCCCAGGGAACATGCAAGACATTTGACCTAACAGGCCCCAACTCCAATTGCAAGCTGCTGGTGAAGATACCTTGCAGCCCCATGCTGCAGGATATGCTTGCAAAACACCAGCAGGATGCCAGAAACTGCTACTTCAGAACCCTGTCGGCTCTGAAGACTCTCACTTTTGGAGGGGGGCACAGCTTTACGTTTTGGCGCATCTGGCCAACAGACTGTACAATCAACAGGCTGGCAACCAACCACGAGGCCTGTGTAGGCCTGCAGGGTTTGCCAAGGCTACTTGCCAAGTGCCAAGGGATGGCCACTTGGCACAAACGAAGCGCGTTCAGTCCCGCCAGACGCTGACATCATGCGAATGAACAAATCGCGCAAGCCGAGGTATCATCCAAGTCAATGCTGAATTCCTCCGGTTCCCATTTCATCGCCTCAAGGGACAGTTTTGTCAGACATCAAGGCAGGAACCCCGCTGCGCACAAGCAAGTTTTCAGAAAATCTGCCAAACTGCCCAACAAGAAATGGAGGCTTTCCGTTTTTCCCCGGCAAGAGCAATGACTGTTTCTTTGCCCGCATCTGTCAATCCTGGGGTACACGAGAAATTGAATCTGCTCAGATTCGGGATTGGAGACCCATGTCCCGATCGGAACAAAAACTTGGAGCATGCCTTCAAATTCGGTTCGGGTGTTTTCGGTGCAGACCAGAAAGATTCACCTTTTGGGTTGCCGATTCACCTTTTGGGTTGCCAAGGGAAAGCCAAGAAACCTCAGATTCGGACTCGCTTTGCGGCTTGCCAAGGCGCCAAGAGCTGTTCGGAGACCTCCTGGAAGTTGGCTCCGAGCTTCTTCTGGGCCAGGCCAGCCTTCTGGGCCGCCAGGACCACCGTGGTCGCCACGTTATGGCCCACCTCCCGGATGCGGCCCGTGTTGGGCAGCACCGAATCCACTTCCATGTCCGCCTTGTCCAGGGAATTGGCCACCGCTTCCGCGGCTTCCATGAAGAGCTTGTCTGGGATGGTACTGGCCTCACAGCACATGCAGCCGAAGGACATGCCAGGGAAGATGAAGAAGTTGTTCACCTGCCCTGGGGCCCGCATCTCGCCGTTCACATTCACAGGAGGGAATTTGGTGCCAGACCCAAAGATGGCCTTACCCGCTGAGAACGTATAGCAATCCTCCGCGGTGATCTCAGCTTGCGTCATTGGGTTGGACAACGCGAAGATGATAGGTCGAAGTCCGCCATGTGGCTTGCTGTCTTGGACACTCATCATTGCCTCAACCACTTGCTTCGTGAAGCAGTTCGGCGCGCGGCCGACTGCTCCGATGAGGATGTCTGGCTGATGGTGCTTGATGATTGCGATTAGGCTTGTCGAGTCGTAGCCCTGAGGCTCCCCCACTACCGCCACATCCTTCTGCTCATCATTTCTGAAGGATCCCTTGCTTCCATCTGCGGACTTCCAGATCACGCCCCTGGAGTTTGTCACAAGTACAGAAGTAGCGGGGACGCCTGCCTCGCGGATCATAAGCTCTGCGCTGCCAATGTTTGCGGAGCCAGCCCCGTGGAAGAGAACGCGCATGCCCTGCAGTTCCCCGAGCAAGTTGGTGCAGCCTGGCTTTTGCAGCTTGATGCCACCCAGCACTGCAGCGATGGCCACGGAAGCGGTGCCCTGGATGTCATCGTTGTAGGTCAAGAACTTGCCGCGGTACTCCTCCAACAGGGGGAAGGCGTCATTGGAGTTGAAGTCCTCAAACTGCAGCAGGCAACTCCTGCCGAAGAGCTCTCTGGCTGCAGTCATGAACTCACCGATGAAGGAATCTGGACCGTAGTAGGCAGTGTTCACTTCCGTGCCTTGTGGACAGGTGTGTTTCACGCGGTTCTGCTTCATGCCCGTGTACATGGCGTGATCCCGAATGGTGAGCTTTGCAGAGTTGCCGCTAGCATCCGTGCAGCCTGCATCAATGATCACCGGCATGGTTTTGTTCGGGTCAAAGCCCCCGCACACGGTGTACAGGTCCAACTTGCCGATAGGGATGCCCATGCCCCATGCCCCAAGGTCACCCAGGCCAAGAATGCGGCCACCGTCCGAGAACACGATGCACTGGCACTGCGGGTTTCCCAGTGAGTCTTTGGGCAGCATGGCATCCGCGTACTCTTTCAGAACCGCCTTGACGTTGCCCCGGTCTGCCAAAGACACGTAGCAGCCACGCGGGAGGAACGGCAAAGTGCCAAACTTCTGGCAGGCCTCTCCCACCGTTGGGGTGTAGACAATGGGCATGAGGAACGCAGGCTCCGCCAAGAGCGTCTGAAAGTAGAGCGCCGGGTTCTTGTGGTGCAGCATCCGCAGGTAGGCGTAGGCCCAGAGGTGGTGCCCAAGACTGCAAAAGCCGCGAACCTCTGCCAAAGCTTCCGGAACGGTCCGGGCCTGACAGCTGCAATCCAGGATGCGCAGCACCTCGCCCACGCCAGCCTGCGCGTTCCAGCGCCCAACTCCTGGTATCGCACACTCACACATTTGAGCTTCGCAGCGAAACCAGCAACATGAAAACAAGATCGGGGCCTTGAGGACAGTATTCCGCCATTTGCTTAGGTCCCCTAAGCAATAAAAGCCCTTTCCAGCAGTGATAGATTCTTTAAAACCAACAGGAGACAAGAAAAGTTATACTTAAGCAAAGGGCAGTATTGCAACCCAAATTGAACTTTGAACCCGGCGATGGCCAGAGCCATGATTGCCACGCAGCGCTTCAAATGAGGTGGTGTACCCCGGGCGTACATTGGGAAGCTGTCGGTTTTCTCGAGGCAGGCAGAAAACGCCCCTCGATTTTACCACTCTGAATCCTATTTCCTTCAGCCTTAAGCGCCATTATAAACCCCTCAGCCCAGCGCATTCGATTCTGGCAACGATTTTAGAAAACGCTGCCGGCTGCCGTCCTTGCTTGGCAACGCTCTTGGGCAACGAGAGCATCCGCCCTGTCACGTCCACCTGCACTGGGGCCATGATCCTGTATCTACGACTCAAATGCCTAGCTGGCTGGGCAAAAACGGCTAGGAGGCAGGACTGCGCGATGCAACGCTCTGCCAAGCTGTTTGAGATCCCACGCTGGCTGCTTGAACTTTTGCGAAGAGCGGGCTTTGGTTTAAATCGCGTCACTGAGCAGCTGCGGCTATTGTCAGTATGCCAAGCTCCTGTTCCAAAAAAGGTCACGCCAGTATCATAAGCCAATGCGGACACATAGCATTTGCAGCAGCCATGCCCAAGTCACGACTCGCCACTCAAACCCCTTCATCTGGGGCCCACGGCACAAAGGGCGGTCAGCACTAAGGCAGCAATCTCGCTGCTGGATAGAGCCTGGCATTGGCTGTGCTTGATTCCAATCACTGGAAAGAACTCATTTTTGCTCTCATGGCAGCATCCACTGGCTTTAGCCTGAAGCCAGCGACAAAGAGCCACTCGGTCTTTGAATTTGAAGCAATTGCCCTACCCTGAACACTTTGTTCCCGGTCACCCAGCTCCATGTTCATCCAATCTTAGGTGAGAAAGTAGGCAGAAAGAGATGGGAGATGGATGAAGAGTGGGAATTGAGAAATGACTCCAGAATCCATTCCCTCATCCATCTCCTCACCGTACCTTTGCTTACCCGGCCATGTGGCCATGGGGCAAAACCTATGGCTCCAGTCTGGGGTGGATGAACATCCATTTGCCACCTATTTTGATGTTCACCAGGGGTACAGGTTTTTGACCCACAGCCATATCCATACGAACAAAAAAAAAACACCTCGCGTTCTCGGCCGCCGCCTCCGACTGCATCTCACCTCTCCTGGGCGCAAGCGCCGAAGCGTCGGCCAGCAGCGCCAGAAGCGAATGCACACCTCAGGGCCGGTGGGGCCGGTGGGATGTGCGCAGAGCTTACGTCAGAAACGCGGAAGAGACTTCAGCACTCTGAAGCATGCCAAGTCGGGGGTTGATGGAATACCAAGGCATGTATCATGATGTTTTTTTGGCAGTACTGGTGCCGTGGTGCCTTTGCTGGTAGGCTCTAAGTCTCCATTATATAGTGATTTGTTCTTTATTTTAAACGCAACATGGTCATGGAAACCAATTGCCATGACTCAAAGCAGGACACGCTTGCCCAAAGAGCCAGAGCTTTCACCTTGCAATCAGTTGTCCAGGCGTGCAAAAGCAACCTGTTGTGCGCCGTCAGCACGGCCTCGCCGCGTTCCACGTCCATCCACATCCCGCACCGCTCACTCTGAGGGTGCAGCCACCCAAACGCAGAACACGGAGCATGTTGAAGGGATGCCTTAGACGAACGCAAAATGGCGACCCCAGCTGACCCAAACGCATTGCCCGGTTAGCCTTGCCAGTTCGCCTTCCTAGCTAACAGCTTCTATTGGGAACCCGACTGCCTTGCCAATGGCAAGCGTTGAAAAGGTGATCCTAACACATGTTGTTGCCACCAACGCAGCCCGGAAACGCAGCACACAGCGGAAGCAGCGCCACCGCCAATGTTGCATCATCCCGCAGCCTCGAAACGCAGCATTCGGCCAGCATGGCACAAAACGGACAGCGGGTCTCACAGATCATGCTTGGTCCCACAGGCAAACAATTTTGACAGGGCGCAACGAGCCTCTCTTCCCTATGCAGATGCCAAGCTAGACTTCAGGCACTGCAAACCCCCACCTGGTGATGGTCCGCACCAAAGGGTCATGCTGATCTTGACCTCAGCGCCGCTTTGCTCAATGTTCATCTGGTTGTTTGGCCAATGCTGGCCTCGCTGGCCTACCTGCAAACCCGGCTGCCGATAAGCTGATCCCTTCCCCCTTATTGTGAAATCGCGCCCCCAAACAAGTAAATATAATTGTCGGCTTTGTAAATTTCATTTTACCAGGGGCCCAGGGAAACACACCACCTAAATTAAGGTGGGGTGGAAAAGCATTTGTCGCATGTGAATGTTCCAGCGGCGCTACTTGCTGGTCCCTGTCTTTGGCCATGTCAGAGGCCAAGCAAGTGTTGCAAGCCAAATGCCGCTTAGCAGCTGGAAGATTGAGCCAATGTGCCAACGAATGCAGATTTAATCTGTTCTAGGCAAAGATCCCAAAACCGGCCCTTGGTTTCGGCTCTTTCCTTCTCGAACTGCTACCCGCTAAAAGCAGGTTTGGTCTAACATGTGCGATGTGTTCCTTCCAGTTTGATTGTGCGCAACACCCCGGTGCATGCTGCATCCAAGGCGCTTCTGGCAAAAGTCCGCGCATTTGTTGTGGTCAATGCCTGGCGGTCCGGCAAAACCCCGGAGATTGATACGGCCCCAATCAGCGACCCAACGTGTTTGCAGTGCATTGGCTTCCGCTGTGTTTAGCTCGTGTGCACGAGCGCGGGTTTGCACACTTCGTGATGCCCCACGACGAGATGTCGTCACACTTGAGCATAGAGGAAAACACGCAAAGAACAACTCGCTGCCCCAAGCACAAACATGACCGCCCTTCCAACAAATCAGACCCTAGTACGTGTTGACATCTTGCGTGCTGGGTCCGTTTGGCCTGCAGAGTGTCCAGAAAGCTGGCCCTGAAGCCAGCCGGACATGGTGCGCCCCGCCTCAGGCGGAAGGTCGTAGGCGTCCGCCAGCTGAACGAAGAGCCGATCAGGCGCCTTCCTCACCCAGCCCTTTGCCTCGAACTCTTCGATCTCCTTCTCTGCGGCAAGGTGTAGCTTCACCCGGTCATTATTCGTCACCTGGCAGAAGTTGGGCACTGCCTCAAAAACGCGTTGCTTGAGTTGGAACGGTGGGTGCGTTGACTTTTGCCACTGGGAAACGCCGTGATACAACGACATGGCCTGCATAAAGCAACGAGTGCCTGAAGACGACATTTGCAGGAGAAGGAGGAGTCGTCGCCATCAAAAGTTCAGCTTTCCTGCTTCAGGTTGAAGCCTGCTCAGCCGCGGCTCAGCCCAGTCTGCCAGTCCTGCCTGGAAGCGCTTCATGTAGGGCTGCAAAGACGGCAAAGCGTGGCCAGGGAAGCCATAGTCTTCCACCCGCACCTGCGCAGTGGGGCAGCTTTCATTCCGGCCAACTTAAGCTGGGCCTGGCGTTGCATGCGAGCAAAACTGACGCAAACCGTGTTGATCCTCGCGAGTGGCGACCTCTTTGACAAGAATATACAAAGATTGGACCCAGCAAAACAGAGCAACACTAGCCCACAAGGAACTTGAAGGCTATCAGGAAGCCAGCGGGGCAAACAAGCAGCAAACGGAATGAGCTCGGACAAGGGCCTCGGAACATTGTCCATTTGCGACGGCCCTTGGCGACTACGATGTCGACCCTGAGGCAAAAAAAAGACCATGTCTAGGAGAATGGTCCCTATGCATGAAAAGGAAAGGGGTCCCCCGGCCATGGACAGCGGGCCACGCCTCGCCACTGGTCAGTTCAGGCAGAGCAGAGCTGTGAAAGCCGCGAAGCTCCTAGTAGTTCGGTCGCAACGCCCCCTCAAAATGAGCAAATCATTGAAACAAACAACCGACAAGAATGCATGCAGTTTTCGCAAATTGCGTCCGTTTGCGCTTGAATGAACTTGTCAAGTTGCCGGCCGGAAAAAGGGAAGGTACAAAGTATTGGCGTCAAAACGGAACAACTCCCTCAAACATGCCCGGTAATCGTGCCGGAGGTTTATCATGTTTCAGGAATCCTGGCGGAAACTCAAGAACATGTTACAGTATTCTGAGCAACGGCATCAATTATTCAACATATATGCCGGCAGCGCCCTTCTTCCGCGACAAAAAACACCCTGCCGTGCCATCTTTGTAACTTGCTTCAAACTGCTATCAGCTCAACCCTCAGAATGGCCTGATTGGATGCTGCTTTGCATGAAGTTGCCACTTATATGCCACTCCTCTCCATCCAAACCGAACAACGATGGCTCGGATGCCCCATGATTCGGCCGAGGTTCAGCTGATTGGCCCAAGGGTGATGGTGGTCAGTGTTTTACCGGTGGGTGACCAAGCTCTTGAATAAGAACACACTCAAAATCCTTCCTTGGCCTCAGGGTTTTGCGCTCGGCAAACTTCCTGCCCTGCGCTCGGCGACTCCTGGAATGCTCCGAGAAGAACATCACCGGCCAGAGTCTCTTCGTGCGCAAAGCCCTCCCGCAGCGCGGTCATCTCCAAGCCTCGTTACGACAAGCCCCAGGCCCCTGCTGATGGCTTCAACCGGTCAGCAACGGCTTACAAGAAAAAAAAGAAACACCTGTGACCCACGGACAATGTATGTTTTCCTCCAGGACATGGACACATAGGGTTCGCCCCTAGTTTCGCGGGAACATGTTGGGATATGTTGGGATGGCCCGGCTTTCTCTCCCAAGCCAAGTACCCTATATATGCTCGCCTGAAGACTATCTTACAAAACATCGCAACGAACATACATCGATAAACATCTATATACTATATGTATATGTATGTATAGATGTGTACACACATATACACTTTTTCCAACTAACATGGCACCTGTGGGGAGGTACCTGGAAGATTCACTTCCTTTTGAAAGGAGCCCCGAGCCCCTGTCAGTAGCCATGTTAGTCGGAGCATGTTAGTTGGAGGGAGGGCATCTATTAAAATAATATACATATGTAATATATATATATATACATACATATGTTCAGAGAGTCAGCTAAATGATGAGCTGCGCGTTCGCCAAGCCAACCTCACAGAGCAAAGTGACTCCGGGGAGGCCATGCATCTCGGCTCAGCAGGGCTGCGAGTTCCCGGGCAGCACCTGGCAGAGTTGCCGGCTTCGCGCTGGCAGGGCTTCGTTGGTCATGGGGGCTGGGAGGGAGAGGAGGAGGGAGGGACCCAAATGAGCCCTAAGTAAGGCCTTAAGGGCTTCATAAAGGCTAATTTGGGCTTCCCTCCCCTCCCCCTCCCTCCCCTCCCTCCCCCCCAGGCCCCCATGATTTGCGGAGCAATGATATGTTCAATGATCACTCGCCATCCTTATGGTGAAGCTTTGGAGCTTTTTGTCCGTCGGCCCTTTGACATGTATGTGTTTGTGGGCCGGAACGGCACAATGCCCATCAAGCTTGCAATGATTCCATGCTGAATTAGGCGCCTCTGCCTTGCGCACCCTATGCTCAGGAACTGGCCGGACTGCAAATTTTACAACAAATCCAAACTCTGAAATAAGGGATTCCCAAGTAAAGGATCTTTACCATTGTAAGCCCTTTTTACTCCGAGGTGAGCTCGCTATAGGCAGATGTATATCCCATTAGGGGATGCACCCCATAGATCCAGGGAAATGCGATCCCGGCCTATGGCGGGGTCCTCCTTGGGGCCGCATATCACCAGGTGCAGCACCCGATCGCCACAAAGGGCGGGAAGCAGCTGCTCCAGCAGTGGCTGCGGAGCAATGCCGCGGTGACCGCTCAGGAATTCCTCGCTCCCAAGCATCCCGAAAAGCAGCGTACATCAAGTTAGAAGAGACGCAGCTGGCATCGCCTGGCCAGTCGCCTGGCCTACTTTAACCATCGTGAACTTGATGGCGCATGGTTTCGCCTCGAGTTACAAGAAGAAATTGAACGAATTCGGGAGTCTTGCTTCAGGCTTGCGGCAATCCTGACCAGCAAAAGTGCGGGTGATGGGCTCTCCTTTTACTCGATGCGGTGGATGCCCGTTACCCATGTCCTTGACGCTCTTCAAGCCCTGCGCGTCATCGCTCAGGAGCTCATCAACACCCAAGTCTATCCATTGGGCCTGGCTCGTTGGCAATGAGCTGCTCTGAAACTACAGCATAGTACAACATGACTCTCTAGTCATGTCGTGGGGCCTTAGCTTGAATAGCCGACGGCGTGCTTTCACACCGCATATTTGGGCACTCCAAGCATGACAAGCTTGCATGTCCCTCACGCGCAGACAGCTTTTATGTGTTGACACAGAACAAGAACCGCGTGTTTTCGACTAAGGCTGTTGCCCAAACAATGCAGAAGGGCTCAACAAAAGGGAGCTTGGACAATCTGCGCTGTCTGCAGGGCATCCTGACACTCCCCGCCCCACAAAAATAAAAGATAGAAAACACACACGACGAAGTGGCTGCCTGCACTGATACACAAACCTTAGCATAGTACAGTTAAAAATGATGTGTGATACTCTGACAAGTATGACGTTTTGCAATAGCAGGGTGATAATCATACAAAGGTGAATATGTGTTTGGTTGAATTTCGTTTGTTGTTGTTCGTGGGTGATTGGTGTAAGTGAATTTGTGGATTGAATGAATTCAGCTCGTTGACGTTGACCAAGGAAGAAACTTTCCAATCTGTCAACGTTGCGATCTAAGAAGATGCCATCTTGATGAATATCCCCCATTCATGTTTTTTTTTTTTTTTTTTAATTGAGATGATCAAGCATCATCAGAACATGTTTTGCAGATGGCACTACAAATGCGACAGTAGACATTTGAGATGTGACAAGAGTGCCCTTGAGGTCACAGAGATGCGAACAAAGCAACGAGCATAAGAGTTCTCAGCATGGTCAGGAATGCTTGTTTTTCTCCAACATGAGTCAACAATATCTCTAGCCATACTGAATTCATATATCAGTACAGTAGTCACCCCTGGTGAGACTGTTCACTTGCATGGAATTTCGAAGAATTGGATAACTTCTGAGATTTGGAGAAGCTTAAGCCATTCAGAAAGCACAACGCTGGTAAACTCGGGCGGAGCGAAAGCTGTCACCGGTTACCACAAGAGCCAACGCCACCTGTCTGCTTTCGACAAGCCCTCTTTGTAGGTATTGTACGTGATCCCCCCGCCGGAAAGATTTCGAACCAGAAAAGTTGAAGTGGCAAGCGCATGCGAGTCTAGAAAGTCGGCAACGCATGCGTCGTCGGGGGCAACGTGTAACAGCAGCAGGTGGCATTCACGATCAATCTTGCCACCCTTCCGAGGCACAAACCCAGCTTTCGGGACTGAATGCCTCCTTTGGAGGCTCAGGTGAGGTGACTCGTGCTGCCCTCGAGTGTAACAACCAGATCCTCTCCGCTTCCCATACCACAGCTTAGGCAAACAACAAAAACCAGAAGCAAGCGATGACAACTGCGCGTGGCCAACGATAAAAAAACACAAACTGTTGAGACCAAACAAAGAATTTGGCCAAGCCAAAACTAGGAGCATTGCTGAAACTCACCAACGAAAAGTAGTCAGATTGCCTTTTCGTCAGGGAGCCCCATTTCCCTGCTATCATAATGCACGGCATGGGCGCTCCAATGGTCTTCGCTAGAATGCTTTTACAGTTATGCTGGTGCTTACCTTCATCAAAGAGTTGGTATAATATCGTTCCAGCTTGAATGCTGGCGAGGAACATAGAGGCTTGGAAGTGTAAGGAGTGTGACAAGGAAGTCTCGTCCCAGCTGCAGCGGTAAGACTGCTCAAAAGCAAGTCTTGTCCAGACCAGGTGTTGATTAACAGCTTAGGTTTCTGTCTCTTTCCGTGCCTCCCTTTGTTGCAAAGCAGGATCCCCGCTGCTTGACACTCTCTCATCTTAATATCTTGCTCTCTCGGTCGTGCGCCAGTGTTCTTGAGATTCTGGAAATTGCAAGTGCAAGAAGAAGGCGTGCAAGCAAAATAATTACAAGCTTACTATCTTCTTGTGGTGCTTTTTCATGCTTTTGTCCATCTCCTAGAAGAATCCTAGCATTCGCACCTGCATTCGCCTGTTCTCTTTTTCCTTTCTCCACACCCCTGCCACTGCGATTCTTCCCCCCACCCTTCGCTTCTTTTGGTTGAATCCTTCTGCCCCCCCCCCCCGCTGCGGGGGCTGTTCGCGGCACGCCCAGCCTGGGTGACGTAGCTGCCGCCTTGCGCGGGCACGGCGAAGTCCAGGGCGCAGGCCATGAAGGACGGCCGGCCCTGGGCCACGAAGCGCTCCAGCGCCTGCGCTTCCGGCTTCGGCGCGAAGGGCGCAAGAGGGGTGCCAAAGTATGCCTTTTACATACTTGGACAATCCAACTCAAAAGGCCTGATGTTCATACCCCTCTCCTCAAAAGGGGTGTATACCCCTTGTAAAGTGGGTTGGAAACCAACGAAGCCAAGGGATATGAACAAGGGGTATGTACTACCACCCTTTGAAAGCAGGTCGCAGGTGCTGTGGCCTGTGGCCTGTGGGAGGCTTGGAAGGGGGGTATGGTGAAAACTCCGAAGAGATGAGCCTATGGCCATGGGTCCCCTAGTAGAAATCAGTAGGAGGGTTATAAGTTGAAAGGAATCCGTACAGGGTGGATGGACCATCCCCGTTAACCTTAGGTGAGGTGGTCTTTTGAACGTGGCACGTGTGGTGTTTGATTGTTGTGCTAGCCAAGGAAGCCAAGGAAGGGAAGCCCAACATAGCTGGAGAGATGTTTTGATTGGTTGATTGGTTGGAAGAAAAAAAGAGCCAAGCTTTCCACCACCCGAAAGACCCGATTCACAGAAACGAGGTCCCCCCTGCGGATCGCCTGCAAGGCCTCCGTCGCAGTGCAGCAGCAGCGCCGGCGCTGCGCCGTGGGCGCATAGAGCTCCGCGGTGGCCAGCGACAAGGAGACGGGGCCCCTTGGGCGGGGGGAAAAGGTGGATCCGTCCAAAGTGGCCATGGGTCGAAACCCTGGTAAGATGGGGGGTGAATTCACCTACCATCACCTACCCCTAAATGGGATCCCATTGGTTTTGACAAAAAAACAGCCAGATCTGTGGAACTCATGGTGGAAGAAGAATAGTAAGGAAGGTGCCATGGAGTATACTTGGAGTACTGTCACTGCAGACTCTTCTGTCCGTTGCGTAATCGAAACCAAACACAATGAAGCTTGCGACCTCTCGGGAATGCATGTCAGGCACTCGCCCACGAGCGCCGTCAGCCAGCTGGCCAGGGTACCGCGAATGCCCTCGCCCCGGGAATTCATGATGAGACCTCAGCGGCCCCAAGAGTCAGGCCAAAGGGCCTAAACCAGAATTCAGAGCTTGAGAGGATGACGTGTCGCCGCTCTTCATGGGTGGCATTCTCATTTTTGGCTTGATTGGTTTGTTGGGGCCCTCCAAAGGTCCAAAGCGCAGCTCAAAGCGGCAGTGGCCAAGGGCGACAGCTTGCAGAGCACCCGATGCGTGCTTGACGCAGCTGGAAAGAACGCATGGTGCCGGTACCAAATGCCGCTAGTGCCAGAAATAGAAGGACACGGCCTCTTATCACCAAGAATTGCAACATCAGGCCCCCGGCTCCCTCGACTTCAGGCAAGGATTGATGTCAGATTTGACAAATTTCAGACTCGCGGCCAAAGGTGGAGGCGCCTTTTGTCAGGGAAAGCTGAGAAGTGCAACTCCGTTCCCTGCCGGGTGGCAGCGCTGATCTAGCTGCGTGCGGCCCATGGACAGTACCTCTGCCAGCCGGATGCAGCCAGCATAAAAATGTAGCCTTTCAACATGCTAGGCACGTCGAGGTAGTTCATGGTTCAAAACAAGCATGGACTCGTGAAATGCGGGGGGGCTTGCCGGCCTTGAGTGGCCTTTCGCTGAGTTTTAGGCCTGGAGAATCCAGGGTTAATGGCTACACTTGCGACCCAAGCTCGGTCCACAGGAAGCCCGGAGATTTCTGTTCGGCCGGGGGCTTGGAGCATCTGCCAAGGATTGTCATGGTGCTCACAGCGTTCAAAGCAAGCCAAAAAAAAACACGTGACAATGCTGACAGTTGGTCTCTCAAATCGATATGTCTGTTAACTTTTTCATTGGTGCATCATACGTGTCAGGTGGGTCGCCCTGGAAACCAAATGAAGCAAGGAATTGCAACATGCTGAAACATTGCCTCGGACGCATTGTGGACAGAACAAAGCAAGGCATTCTCAAGGTCCCCTCTTTTCCCATGCTCAGTGCCGAAGCAAAAGAATTCCTGAGGAAAGTCCGGACAGGGTGTTGCAGCTCAAGCTGACAGGGCACGCTTAGAAACGCACGCCGCCCACACCCACCCACCCACCCACCCGCCCGCCCACCCGCCCGCCCGCCCGCCTGCCCGCCCGCCCGCCCACCCACCCACCCACCCACCCAACACGCACACACGCACAACACACACACACACCCAGACACACATGCACTCACACGCGTCATTGCGCGCCCGATCGTACGCACAGAGAAATAACGCTGCTTCCTTTTGGGGGAGACCATGTGTGCCGTGCATTCCAAGGTGACTGCACTGTCATGTGCCACACGCTGCTCTTTTTTGTGAGGCCGGCCCAAATCATGCCACTTTCCAAATCCTCCTATGTTGACGCATGATGAAATTGAGACCCTTGTGATCCCTTTTGCTGTTGCTGAAAAACCCAAAAAAAAACAACTGTGGGTGTCCGTGAAGGAACCCCAACACAAACGCATCATGTCTGGACCCCCCCAAAAAAATAAAAAATAGGCCCTTCCCCCACTGTGCGTGGCATTCTCGTCCGAACCTCCCCGAAGAGGCACCGTCACAGGCACGCAGGGCGCCAGCGCGGGGATGCGGAGCTCCTGGAGCTCCGAGACCTGGCGGCTTCGCTGGGCTCGGTGTGGTCTTTAAGGTCTTTGGTGGGGCTATTTTGTTGCTTGGTTTTCCTACGGGTTGTCAAAGGCCCACAATTACATGCTTAGGGGCCGATTCCCTAATAAGGCTCCTTCTGGGGGCCTCTTTGAGGTCCCCTGACAAACATAGGAGGTTTGTCATCTTGTTGGGGTGATGTCATCATTTAGTATATTTGGATGATTGTAGAATTGAATGCCTTTGATATGCTGGAAATTGACTCACATGTTTTGCAGATGCCGGCATTGCTTGGAGGAGGGTTGCCCGGGGTTGCCAGTGGGCAATGGGCATGTCGCATTGTTGAAAGCTAAGTGGGCAAGTTGGATTGCTAACATTGGCAGGGTCCAATTAGGTCAGCTTTCCAGCTTGTACTTTATGACTTGGCAACCACCCTTGGTTGTAAAACGGCAACTCAATGCCGTTGAGTCATGCCTATAGGGGCAAGTTTGCGAGCAATCTTAACCATCCCTTCACTTGCAACATCACTGGTAATGAATTCGACGCGTCTCGGCTGTCATTCTTTGCATTCGACAAGTCTAGCCTATATGGTGCTCCCTATTGCTAGCTCCCGCGGGCATTGGGAACAAGAAATTACTTGCTGGTGCTCAGTCGGGAATGACCCAGGGTGTTGGGAATGCACCGGAAGGGGATGGTTTTTTGCAGGGGTCCTTCCCTCAACCCTGCTGAGAACCGGCAAGATTAACAGCTGCCCAATGGACGAGGACAGTCCATGTCTTTTGGCATTGCCCTTTCCTGAAGTCTGGCAATGGGTCTGCGTTTCCTCCCGAGGCTGCTTTGCATGGATGCCCCTGCTCCCAAACATCAGAAAAAGCCAAGGCAGCTCGCTCACACACGACCCGTCATCTGCAGATACAACTAAACAGATTTCAGCAAGACCACGCCATGTCCTATTGACTGGACTCATCCAAGCCGCCCTTGTCAGACAGTCCTCCTCTGGCATCTAGTCTAGAACTACTCCGAGTGCACCCGCCTCATGGACCGACGCGGAGAACCTCGGCGTGTGGCTGGCATGCATGCAGGCTGAGCGCTGCAAGGAGCGTCTCTGCACGTTCAGGGCACCTTTAGTCACCAATGTCTTCAGGGCCATTGAATTTCATGAAGCATAATGCGTGAGCTTTGGAGTGGGGATGCATCTTGATTGAAGGATTCCAAACTAGTTTTACTTGCGAGCAACTTCCATCAACCCCGTGATTCGTTGAGCTGCCCATTGTTGCCATGCGAAGTGTTTTCTCCCCAACCTGCCTGGTAGGAAAGTTGCAGGAGATCAGGGCTCCCATGTGTGACAGTGGCTTGCCGAAATATGGCCGTGGGTCAAAACCAATGGTACCATTGTTTAGTCTATTTTAGTGGGGGTTTCCCACCGCTTGGCACTCCGTGGGCTTCCTTGAACTTCAGCCGCGTCACGGGCGTCTGCGGTGTCTCTGCACGGCCGCGCCAGGCGGTGGGGGCGCCAAAGGCAACAACATTGCGGCCAAATGATGGGTGAACCCAAATTTGGACACCCAAAAATGAACCGACACGTTTTAAGGTATCCAAGTTGCCGCCCCCCCCAAAAAAAAGGATTTGTGAAGCCGGGCTTGCAGCTGCAGCTTATGTGATTTGCTGACTTCTGGAGGCCACCTCGGCCTCCGGGAAGCTAGGTTAGGGCAGTCATTGTTGCTCAAGCGGCCCGGTGTTGCCTTCTGGCTGGTGCTGGCTTGAAAAACGGGTTTGAGAGATAGCAATCTTTTTGCTGAAACCCAATGTGTTCATGCAACTGTGGCTTTGTAAGCGAGCAAAACGAATTCGTCCTTGAGCCCAGGCAAAAAGAAGTCACTGAAGAGGCCAAAGGAGACGAGAACATGGGTGTGTCTTTTTCGAGGGTACCCCTTTTGGGTTGGTTTCAAAGGGAAACCAAAGGAGAAACCAAAGGAAAGGGACAATTTTCTTGAGGGGTCCCCCCCTACAAGTACTTGCTCCTCACTTTGAATATAATTGCCCGTGGCATGCCACCGCCCTGTATCCTGTAGCCAAGACAAAACAATATTTCCAGCCTTGAAGAATCTTGCCACAAACAAGCGCAGAAACAACCAACCAACGATATTTGAAACAAAAACACCACCACCATCAAGATTCCGTACTGTGGATGGATGTTGGTATTTACAGGGGAATTATCCTAGGGCGTCTTAGGTGCCGGAGTTCGTCCATCCGCAGTATCAAATGCTAGCCTGGCGCATCAATGATGCGTTGACGCCCATGGTCCGACTCCTCTAGTTCCAGCTCAATCTGCTCCACTAGCTTCTCATGCCTCAGGCGCAAGGGCAACCAGCAAAATCGTATCCTCGCAACTTGGGTTCTGTAGACCCCCCAGCAAAAGGTTGAGCTGTTTGCTGGTTAAAAGGAAATATGAGGGGAATCCAGAGAGTTAAAGTCTACAGATCCAACCCAATAGCAGTAGAGGCAAGACTATTGAATTTGTTTGCAGTTGTCATTTGCTAGGTCTGGTCACTACACCAAATTGCACTTTGTCGACGCTATGCGTTTGCATGGCACGGGGAGGAAGGAGGGAGGGAGAGAGCGAGAGAGAGAGAGAGAGAGCAAGAGAGAGAGAGACAGAGAGACAGCGGAGAGAGCGGAGAGAGCAAAGGGAGTGAAAGAGAGACAGAGAGACAAAGACAGGGAGAGTGAGCGAGAGAGAGGGAACAACTTACACAGTTACAAGTTACAAGTAGAAAGCTGAAAGACCAAATGTGCAAATCACAGCAAAAGAGATTGGGCATGCCGCACGCTCTCAACTGCCAGGAATCGTGCCTCATCTGAATTGACTGTCCAAAAGAAGAGAATGCGCAACCCACAAAAGACATTGACGCCGCACATTCAGGCCCAATTTCCAACGTCCAACTTCCCCTGACCTTGGGGCCAAGGGATGCCCGGCTACGGGGTCTTAAGCCTGCAACTTCAGGCTGACAGGCGTCCATTTCTCGCGATCGCTGAGGGAATGACTTGCCGCGACCGGGTGTTGAGAATGAACCGTTTGGGGATTCCCTTCAGGGAAAACCATAGGCCGTGGTTCAATCACGCGTCATTCCATTTCTCAGTCCCTGTTGCGAACCAGCAAGAAAAAAGAACTTCAGGATCGAAATTGCAACATTGACAAGTAAAGGCTTGCAAAGCCTCCCTTGGCAAGAATCATGACACGAGCTCAAACAACGCAAACACGCATCATCATCACCACCACCATCATCATCATCATCATCATCATCACCACCATCATCATCATCAGCATCAGCATCGTCATCATCAGCATCGTCATCAGGTCGGTGCTGGCCAACACCCTCATCAGCGCGTCTTTGAAATTCGAGGGCCCCTGCTTCTGCTTCAGCTCCCGCCAGCTTTGCGCCACCGTCCCCTCAAGGCCTGGGGCGCAATCCGGCGCAATCCGTGGTGGGTCTCC